CCCCCGCGCGCCCCTGGCCGACCCCGCCCCCGGCCGCGCGCCCCCGCCCCCGGCCCCGGCCCGCCCCGGCCGCCCGCGCACCTTGGGCAGGTGCTTCATGACGCACATCACCACCGGCTGCAGCGACGGCATCTTCACCAGCGAGAAGCTCTTCTCCAAAAGGTCCTCCAGCTTCTTGTACCTGCGGCGGCGCGCGCTGAGCCCCCCCGCGGGGCGGGGCGGACACCGCACAAGCTGCGGGGCGACCGCCCTGGGCCGGCCCCCGGCCCGCGCCCCCCGCCCCCGCGCCTGCAGCCTCCCCGGCCCCTGCCCCACTGCCTGCCTGCAGCCCCCGGCCCCCGCCCGCGCCCACGGCCACGCGCCTGCAGCCTCCCCGGCCCCTGCCCCACTGCCTGCCTGCAGCCCCCGGCCCCCCGCCCGCGCCCCCGGCCCACGCGCCTGCAGCCACCCCAGCCCCTGCCCCACTACCTGCCTGCAGCCCCCGGCCCACGCGCCTGCAGCCACCCCAGCCCCTGCCCCACTGCCTGCCTGCAGCCCCCGGCCCACGCGCCTGCAGCCTCCCGGGCCCCTGCCACCCACTGCCTTCCTGCAGCCCCCGGCTCACGCGCCTGCAGCCACCCCAGCCCCTGCCCCACTACCTTCCTGCAGCCCCCGGCCCACGCGCCTGCAGCCTCCCGGGCCCCTGCCACCCACTGCCTTCCTGCAGCCCCCCGCCCACGCGCCTGCAGCCTCCCGGGCCCCTGCCACCCACTGCCTTCCTGCAGCCCCCCGCCCACGCGCCTGCAGCCTGGGGAGCCCCTGCCCCACTACCTGCCTGCGGCCCCCAGCCCGCGCCCCCGGCCCACGCGCCTGCAGCCTCCCCAGCCCCTGCCCCACTGCCTGCCTGCAGCCCGCGCCCGCGCCCACCTCTCCTCCGCCTTCCCCTCCGACGCGATGGCCGACACCCGCTCCAGCAGCTTGTCCCGCAGCTCGTCGAACACCGACTGGTGGAACTCCAGGCGCGGGGTCCCGTGCAGGTCCAGGAACGGGAGCGCCGACTGCAGCGAGGGCAGCAGCACGCCGTTCTCCGTCTGCGGGGCCGGGGGTCAGCGCGGGGGCCCGAGGCGGGGGTCCGCCCGCCGCCCCGGCCCCCGCCCGCGTGCCCGGCCGCACCTGGAACTGCTCGATGGCCTTGAGCGGCTCGGTGCAGTTGGTCAGCGTCTCCTTCAGGTCCTCGCCGTTGGCCACGCCCAGGTCCTGCAGCCCCGCGAACATGGCCGAGGCCCCGACCCCCGGCCGGCTCGGCGCCCCATCCCCGCCGCGCTCCGCCGGGGCCGCCGCGGGCGCCCCGGAAGCCCGCTCCCCGGGGCCTCGGGGGCCGCCCGAGCTGCGCTCCCCCGCGGCCTCCAGCTCGCCCAGGTCCCGCTCGCGGCGCGACTCTGCACCGGCCCGCGGCCGCCCACTTCCGCCCCGCACGGCCCTGGTCCGCCACCCAAAGCGCTCCCGGGAAACGCCGCCGCGGCCGCGCACGGGTTCCTGGGAGCGCCGCCCTCGGCCTGCGCGGGGGGCGGAGCCGGAGGACGCGCGAGCCGTGGGCGCGGCCCCGGCCCCGCCCACCGCACGCGGCCCCGCCCCTGCCCGGCCTCGCCCGCCGCACGCGGCCCCGCCCCGGCGCCCGGCCCCGCCCCCTCCGCGCTTCGCGTTCCGGGAGCTGGCGTTGGAGCGCCTTTCACTGCGGTGCTGCTGACCTCCCCGCAGCCTTGCCTACGCGAGCGTGCGTGGTCGAGGAGGGTGCGCGCTGCGTGCGTGCCTCCCACGGGGCGGGGCGGAGACCCGCGCGCGCTGCGGGAGCGACCCGCCGTGGTTGTCCGCGGCGGCCGGCCCACGCACCTGCAGCCACCCCAGCCCCTGCCACGCACTGCCTGCCTGCTGCCCCTCCTCCCGCACGCCCCGCGTCCCCGCCGCGCGCCGGGAGGGGCACAAGGCACAGCGCGGAGCCGGGGAACAGTACGTCTGTAATGGGGGCGCGGGCTGCCCTCGGCCACGCGGGGCCCTAGAGCGCGCAGAAGGGGCCGGTGTCGTGGCGCTTGGGTCTCCGCACGCCCTGGATGAGCGCGCCGGGCGCCGAGCGGAAGCGCGAGTCGCGAGCCCGCTCCGTGCGGTAGGCGCCGGGGCCGGGGACGCCGGCTGCGGAGAGAGGGCAAGGAGGCGCCCCGCGGACCTCAGCGCTGCGCCGCCCGGGCCCGCCGCCCAGCCCCGCCGCGCCCCGCGCCTTACCCGGGCCGGCCCGCGAGGCGGGGGCGCGCGCGCTGCGCATGGAGAAGGCGGGGGCGCGCGGGCTGCGCAGACGGTCCCCGGGGACGACGTCGTAGGTGCCGGGGTCCGGGCGCTTCTCGCCGCGAGCCCGCGCCAGAGCCTGCACCAGCGGCTGCGCCCGCGGCGGCGCGGGGCGGGCCTGGCCCTCGGGGGCCATGGCGGCGGGAAGGGGGACCCTGGCGCTGCAGGAGCGGGCGGCGGGGCCGCTGAGCGGCCGGTAGTGCGCGGGCGACGGCCACTGCGGGAGGCGGAACGCGGCTGAGGCGTGCTCCGCGCTCACGCCGCCCAGCCCCCGCGTCCCGCACCCCGCGGGCCGGCCGCACCTTGAGCTCGCGGTTGAAGTCCACCTTGTGCGTGAAGGGGCTTTCGCTCCGCAGCCACTCGGTCTGCCAGGCCCTGCGGCCGCCGCCCTCTGCGGGGGAGGGGGGCAGGGGAAGGGGCGGAGGTGGCATAGCCTGGGGTCTCCGGGCCGGGCGGGGCGGGGCGGGGCGGGGCTGGCGGCGGGGATGCACCTGGGCCGGGGTGCCTGCGTCCCAGGCTGTAGTGCGGGTGTGCGGAGCTCTCTCGCGCGGACGCGCTGGGCACCTGGTACTTGGCGGGGCCGGGCACCTCCGGGTCGGTGAGCAGCGGGGGGCGTCGCTCCAGCACTGGCCGAAGGAAGCAGCTCGGGACTGGGGCTGCCCACCAGACCCCTCCTCCCCTCGCCCCCCGATCGCCTGCGGGAGCCGAGACCCCCGCTGCACTCACACAGCTTCCTCAGGGTGGCCGCACAGGCAGTGTCCACCCCTGAGCCCAGGGCAGCCGGGACTGCCTGCTTCTGCGAGGGCCACGCCTCCTCCCAGGCCGCCCCGGGCCGCGGGCCCAGCCACAGCACCGCTGACTGGGACCTGCAAGGGAGACGGGCAGCCGCTGGCCACCCGGCCTGCCGGCGACCCTCCCAGGCCGCCCCGCCTGCCGCCCGCGGAGGTTACTGGGGCGGCCGCGGCAGCTTCTGGCTCAGGGGGCCGTGGGTCCAGTGTTTGCCTCCATTGATGTAAAAATTTGCCAGGAATTTCACCGCCTTCTGGTCAAAATTCATCTCCCAGTCTCTGGCTCCCTTGGGGGAGGGCACTGTGACCTCACTGGCGGGTGGCTCCACCCCCACCCCGTTGCCAGGGGCTCCCTAGGGACGCAGCATTGTCCAGCTCTGCAGGCGCCAACCCAGGGACACACACACCCCGCGCGCGCGCGCCCCCACCCTGGCGCCCTGTGGCCCCTCCCCCTTCCTGCACGGTGGCCCCTGCCCCTCCCCTGCACCCGGAGCTGAAGGGAAGGGAGCCAGCGGCCCCTGCAGCAGGGCTCCTGGGGGCGTGTGGAGGGGAGACGCCCACCCCAGCCACAGCCGTCGGAACAGCAGCAGTGGGGTGGCCCTGGAGCCACAGGCGCCCAGCGGAGTGTGTCACGGACGGACAGGGTGGTCCTGCAGAGGAGGACGGGGAAGCCGGACAGAGCAAGGGCCCTGCGGGGCATCCCTGGAGCAGACCAGCCTGCCAGCCCTGGTCTCGACCTTGGCCCCAAGTCCTTGCGTCCAGGGCCCTCCCAGGAGCCCGTCCCCCTGTGCCCGTGCCTTCCTGCAGCCCCTGAGTGGAGTCCCGGGTGGATGGACGCCTGCCTGAGGACATGGCGTGGCTCCCAATGGGTGACCGGGACTGCACCGGGGCCGGGGCCGCGGTGGAGATGAGGGACACCGTGTGTGTCTCAGCTTGGTCCTGGAGCACTCCTGCAGGGCGGATTCCTGGCAGCAGGAGCGACAGCACCCCATCTGGACCGGACCGGACTCCCCACAGGGTCCCCCAGGACCCGGGGCGTCCCCTGGGGCCGGGCCAGCAGCTCGAATTGGAACGGGTCAGCCTGACATCCACCTGTTGCCTGTGGCGTGGACGTCCTTGCTCCAGGCCTTGCTGCAGGCCGTGTGCGTCTGTGTGCAGCTCCTGCCAGGGGCCGCACCTCCTCGTGTGTCCTTGGACAGCTCCAAGTTCACGCTACAAAGCCCCTGAATCCCCCCACAAACAAAAATCAAGATTTGTCTAAAACGGAAAACACTGCCCTCTGTAGGTCACTGGCCACTGGCGGTCCAGGGCTGAGGAGCCGGGGGCGGGCTGCTGGCCCCCTGAACTGGCCAGGCCTTCCCTGCAGTGCTCTGAGCCTCCGCCCGGGGCCCCCTGCCTCACCCTAACACCTTCCCGCCCGCGGAGGGTGGGTGCTGGGTGCCCTGGGCAGGCCAGCCAGGAGCCGGGCAGCCTGCAGGGCTGCTCAACAGTGCGGGGGTGGGGGCCTCACAATGGTTGCCAGGTGATGGCTCCCCCGGGGGCAGGGGGCTGAGCTGGCCAGGGCAGAGTCAAGGAGAATGACAGCTACTCAGAAGCATGGCCTCTTCACCCCGGAACCTCACTATATCCCCGGGTAAGAGCCGGGGGCTCTGGGGCAGGCCGGGGGCCCGCGTGAAGGCCCCCCAGCCAGACGCCGGGAGGCTGGAGCCAAGAAGGGAGCCAGGGAGGCCCCAGGAACAGAGGAGCCGCCGGGCGGGGGCGGCCGCTGCCGGCTTCACCCCTCCCTGCGGGCACTTCGCCCAGCAAGGCCACACCAGGTGGCCGGCGCGTCTGTCAGGAGCTGAAACTGGGGCAGCCGAGCAGCTGGCCGAGGCCAGCTAAGCAGGTGCTGCTAGGGGAGCCGAGCGCGGAGTGGGCTGCCCGCCTGGGTCCCCTCGGCTGCCCGCTGTCCGCACAGCTACATCTCCGAGGGCACTCCCCCAGGGAGGGCGGGGCGCCCACCCCGTGCCCCAGCCTTGTTCCCTTGCTGCACGCACGCCTGCTGGCCTGGGCAGGCTTGTCCCTGTGTCCTGTCCGCACGCAGGCACCACGACAGGGTGCCCGCCACTGCCCTGTGGAGCCCTGCGTGGACGGTGTCCCCGAGCCCCGTAGCGTGGCCGCCGCCTCTCCCCGCCTCCACCTTTGCGGCCTGCACTGACCTCTGCGGCGGCCGTGGCTCCCCCTCCACACGGGTGTGATGACGTCTGTCTCATTTCCTAAACTTTTGTGCCACTTGATGTGACGCAATGCCCGCCGGGTCCATCCGTGTTGCTGTGCGTGACCATCCGTGAGTTGCCATCTGTGCTGTGTCCCTTTGTGTCTGTGTGGTGACTCCGTGCCTCTTGTCCCCACCACGCTCCTCCTCTCAGGAACCAATCCACAGCAACACCTTTGTCCTTTTTTTCCAGTAAGACAAACTCACCCTCCCCATCCCTGGGGCCTGTGCGACCACCACACCACCCCTCCCGCAAACTCAGCTCACCCAGCCCCCTGCCTGCTTCCCCAATCCCGGTCCTGTGGTCAGTCACTGGGCCAGACCCCGCCCCCACCTTCCTGGGCGCTGTCCCTCCAGCTGGGCCTGCAGCCACACCGGGCCAACCCTGCCCTTGCCTCCACTTCCCGCAGGCAGCGAGGGTGGGCACGGGGGGCGACAGTGAGGCTCCCGGGAGGCAGCGAGGTCAGCACTGGGGGGTGCTGTGGGCTCAGGCCTCAGGCCCCCCGACGGGCAGATGACCAGGCCGGACCCAGGTGGTGCTGCCAGACCAGCTGCCCTGCCCCCCTGCCCCCCTCCCCCGCAGGTATGCCGGCTTCTACCCGCAGCTGCGCTACCAGGTTGGGAACACCTATGGGCGCACCACGGCACAGCTGCTCACCGACCCCAGCGTGCGCAAGAGCCCCTGCTCCGTCCTGTCCCCCATCTCCAAGCCCAAGTTCATCGAGGACTTCAGCAAGTCCAAGCCCCCGCTGGTCCCCTGCCGAGACCTGATCGAACCCTACATCCCCCACTACACGGGTGAGCTATCACCCCCACACGCATGTGCGTGCACACACACACACACACACACACACACACTCGCTCACGACGGCCCTGTCACGCAGGTCTGCAGCCCTACAAGAACTTCGAGATCCTGGGCCGGCTCCCGCCCCAGGAGGCAGGCGCCGAGGAGCCTCCGGCAGCGCAGAACGTGTCCAGACATGTGCCGCTGCCCGCGGGCTCCATGCCCTACTTCCCCTACCCGCCGTGCCCACCAGGGAGGAAGGTGGACTCCAGAGACTGGGGACACCCCGGCCTGCGGCTGGCCTACGGGGAAGAGGCCTGGAGGAACCCCGCGCCCCTCCACGAGGCCCCCGGCCAGTACCAGGTACCCTGACGCCGGCAGAGGCCCCGCCCACCCCACCCAGCTACGGGGGGAGCTGGGGGTGACCTCACCCTGTCCCCCCCAGCTGTACCACTGCAGGAGGGACGAGGGCCTGCCGCGGGCCCGTCACCTGGAGACGCTCGACGTGGACAGGTTCCAGCGGCTGCCCCAGCTGGACCACCCCAACCTGATCCAACGCAAGGCCATCTCCGGTGCCAGGACGGAGGGGGCTTGGTCCAGGGGTCGCCCTCCCCCACAGGCCCCTGGGGGATGACAGGGGAGGGCGCAGCCGTGTCCTCGCCTCTGCCGCCCAGCTGTCTCGGGACCCCAACTTGGGGTAACTCGGGGGACGGCTGCCCGTCAAGCTGGGACTGACTGGGTGCTCCCCCAGGCTACGCTGGCTTCGTGCCGCGCTTCGCCTGGGTGATGGGGATGAATTACCGCGACGGGGTGACACAGGCCCTGGACGAGTTCGACAAGACGCAGGTACAACCGCCCCAAGGCTGCTCCCTGTGGCCCGGCTTGCGGAGGCTGGGGGGGGGCTCTGCCTGCCTGACGGGCGCCAGCACCCACCTGCCCCCCCAGTTTCTGTTCAGAAACCCGGGCTGTGCCCTGGGCCAAAGGCTGCCCAGCGCCCACTGGTCCAGCAGCACCATCTACAACAGCCAAGGCATGATCCCTTTCTACATGGGGTTCATCCCCTGTGAGTACCAGCCCTGCCCGCCCTCCCGCACCCCAGGGGCAGGGCGGGGCCCGCAGCCGGCCCAGCTCAGCCGCGCCTCCCCCGCAGCCATGCAGGACAACTACGCCATGACCTTTGGCAACAGCACCCGCAGGGCCTACCAGAAGGAAGTGCAGAGGCGGAGCCAGGCACTATGAAACGCTTTAATGGTGGTGTGCGGACAGGAAGGGGGCAGGTGCACGCAGACGGCCCTGCCAGGGGCGCTGAGCCAATAAAGAGTTCACACCGCGAGCGCGCGCTGGCGACCGGCCCTAGGCCACCTCCTCCTCCGCCTCCTCCTCGAACTCGCCCTCCTCCTCGGCCGTGGCGTCCTGGTACTGCTGGTACTCGGACACCAGGTCGTTCATGTTGCTCTCGGCCTCGGTGAACTCCATCTCGTCCATGCCCTCGCCCGTGTACCAGTGCAGGAAGGCCTTGCGCCGGAACATGGCCGTGAACTGCTCCGAGATGCGCTTGAACAGCTCCTGGATGGCCGTGCTGTTGCCGATGAAGGTGGCCGACATCTTGAGGCCGCGCGGCGGGATGTCGCACACGGCCGTCTTGACGTTGTTGGGGATCCACTCCACGAAGTAGCTGCTGTTCTTGTTCTGCACGTTCAGCATCTGCTCGTCCACCTCCTTCATGGACATGCGGCCGCGGAACACGGCGGCCACCGTCAGGTAGCGGCCGTGGCGCGGGTCGCAGGCGGCCATCATGTTCTTGGCGTCGAACATCTGCTGGGTGAGCTCGGGCACGGTGAGCGCGCGGTACTGCTGGCTGCCGCGGCTGGTGAGGGGCGCGAAGCCGGGCATGAAGAAGTGCAGGCGGGGGAAGGGCACCATGTTCACGGCCAGCTTGCGCAGGTCGGCGTTGAGCTGGCCGGGGAAGCGCAGGCAGGTGGTGACCCCGCTCATGGTGGCCGACACCAGGTGGTTGAGGTCGCCGTAGGTGGGCGTGGTGAGCTTGAGCGTGCGGAAGCAGATGTCGTAGAGGGCCTCGTTGTCGATGCAGTAGGTCTCGTCCGTGTTCTCCACCAGCTGGTGCACGGACAGCGTGGCGTTGTAGGGCTCCACCACCGTGTCCGACACCTTGGGCGAGGGCACCACGCTGAAGGTGTTCATGATGCGGTCGGGGTACTCCTCGCGGATCTTGCTGATGAGCAGGGTGCCCATGCCCGAGCCCGTGCCGCCGCCCAGCGAGTGGGTCAGCTGGAAGCCCTGCAGGCAGTCACAGCTCTCCGCCTCCTTCCTCACCACGTCCAGCACCGAGTCCACCAGCTCGGCCCCCTCCGTGTAGTGGCCCTTGGCCCAGTTGTTCCCGGCCCCACTCTGGCCTGCAGGAGGACAAGTGGTCACTCTGGGGCCAGGCACGTGGTCACCGGCACAGCCGCCAGCCCTGCTCAAGTCCAACCCGGGGCGGGGGAGGACCGTGCGGGAGCAGCCCCGCCCCTGCGGCTCCCGGGCCTCCCTCCCAAAGCCGCTTCAGGCGGCACCAGGCGGCTCCGGGCCGTGACCTTGGGCGGCCCCCACCGCTCACCGAACACGAAGTTGTCGGGTCTGAAGATCTGCCCGAAGGGCCCCGAGCGCACGGAGTCCATGGTGCCGGGCTCCAGGTCCACGAGCACGGCGCGGGGCACGTACTTGCCGCCTGCGGGGACAGCGGGGCGTCAGCGCGCGGGCGGCCGCGGCGCCGCGGGCGGGGGGCGCGGGGGCGGCCGGGGGCTCACCGGTGGCCTCGTTGTAGTACACGTTGATGCGCTCCAGCTGCAGGTCGCTGTCCCCGTGGTAGGTGCCCGTCGGGTCGATGCCATGCTCGTCGCTGATCACCTCCCAAAACTGCAAGGCACGGGCGCGCCCGGGCGGGCGTGCGGCTGAGTCACCGCAGCCGGTGCGCCCGGGGCGGCCCCGCCCCGGATGGGCGCGGCGGGCCCTCCCCTCCCCCACCCGGGCCCGCGCGCCCGCGGCCACCGGCGCTCGGGCCCGCAGCTCCGCCCGCCCCCGCCGGCAGCCGGCGCCCGGGCTCGGGCCCCGGCGGCCCCGGCCGCGGTCCGCGCTGCGCTTCCGGGAGCCGCAATGCGGGAACGCCGCCCGCCCAGCCGCTGCCGCCATTTTTCCCAGCCGCCCGCCCCGCCCGGCAACGCCGCGCCGGGCCCGCGGCGCCGCGAATGCCCACCTTTGCGCCGATCTGGTTGCCGCACTGCCCGGCCTGCAGGTGCACGATCTCCCTCATGGCGACGGCGGCGACGGCACAAGCAGCAGGACCGACAAGAACAGCGGAGGAGCGGGCGCGCAGAGTGCTACAACCGTCGCTCCGCCGACGCTTATATACCCCCTGCACCCGCCTCCGCCAGCCTCGGATTGGGCCGCCAGAACGAGGCTGCAGAGCGGCCTCGTCTGACTGGCCGAGCTTCTGTCAATAGAGCTGCTTAAGGCCCACCTTCCCAACGATGTCCGCTCTTTATTGGTCAGACGCGGGCCCCTGCTTCCCTATCACAATCCGCCCCGCCTCGCGCTGCAGTGCTCTGTCCATTGGGTGTTTCAAATGATTGATTTGCCCTCTCATTGGCGGACGCCCGGGAGCACGCCGACAGGCCGGCGCTATTGGCCGTCCTGGGTCAGCGTCCTGGTAACCGCCGCAGTGCAGCGGGAGACGCGCGCGGGCGGGGCGTTAGGGAGCGCGGGCGCGGGCGCGGGCTTCCGGCCGGGCCTCCTGCGACAGCTCAGGCCTCGGCGGGGCCGCGCGAGCCCGTGGTCCGGGGCCAGCCCGCGCGCCTCCTCCGGGGCGCACGCCGCGGTGCACACGCTGGCGCGCGGGCCCGCACGGCCGTGGCGAGCCCCGCGGGTCTCCGCGCAGAGCCCCGTCCCCCCGGTGCCGCAGTGGCCGCGTCCAGGGGCGGGGTCTGGACCGCCGCCCCCGCCGCGCGCTGTGTTGTGGAGACCGCACTGGCCGTGCGCCGGTCGCCCGGGGCGCAGGGCTGCATGGACACGGGGTGGGCTCTCCTGCCCTGCGCACCAGCTTCCGGCTTGACTTGTGTTGAAAGACGGTTGCGCACACGGCTGCACCTTGGCGCACATTCGCGTTGTGTTTTGGTAACGTCTCTAAGGGTGATCCGCGCGCTCCGGGCTGCGCTGGACGCGGTCACCGCCGTGGGCGCGGGGCCCATCCGGGTCCTGTTCTCCCGGCGTCGGTCGGGGGGCAGCACTTGCTTGTTCCTAGCGGGGGGCGCCCCGAGGGGGCGTTCTCCGTGCTGCGGGGACCGTGAGTCGGCAGCTCCACTGTGCCCAGAGCAGCCCGCAAGGCTGGCCCGGCTCCTGCTGCCCACGCTGACACGGCCCGGTCCCTGGGGTCTGGAGCCTGCCTGCCTGGGCGCGTGCGCAGTGCGGGCGTCCTCCAGGGTGGCTCCGCTGCCCATGCAGTCCACAGGCAGGCCCTCACGCACGGGGAAGCTCAGGTCTCTGGCCCTCGTCCAACTTGTCAGCGCCTCCCCAGCCCAGCCACACTTGGGGTGACCGGAGACCCCCTCCCTGCTGCTGTGACCAGCGCGCAGGGGCTGCGAGGTCAGTGTGGCAGCCCCCGTCTTGCAGGTGACGCAGGCCACGCGCACGTCGGCCTCTCAATACAGCAGCAGCTCTGCACCGGGCGGGGGGAGAGGCCCTGCAGGTACCCCCCACCTCCGGGCCTGGAGTCGGTGGCCAGGCAGGCGCCGGCCCTCCTGCAGGTGCCCACGTGGGAGGCCGCCTTTGCCAGTGGTCATGTCCCAGCGGAGGATGCATTACCCTCAGCCAGGGGCAGCAGCCAGACAGTCGCTGGCAGCCTCAAAGGCCCTTGTGGTCAGCCTTTGTGGGAGACCTCACCTGCCCCGGAGGACAGGTGCGTGGGGCAATCCACCCCCGCCCCCGGAAGCCAGGCGGCCCCAGCACCTCCTCAGGGACCTCAGAGGGCGCCCGGAGGCGGGGGCGGGGCAGCGTCCCGGAGTCACCAGAGCTGACCGCTGGGGACTGGAGGTGTGGGAGGAGGAGGACAGGACTGTGGCCAGAAACGGCCTTGGGGCTCCCCCAGGCCGCATCTCACGGCCCACCGCTGGTCCCTAACAGGGCTTGCAAGGGGGGAGGCATGAGAACTCTGGGACCATCTGAGCTTCCTCTCCCGGGGAGGCGGGGCTGGTGTTGTGGGCAGCCCCGGCCTGGAGGTGTCCGGTTCCCGCTGGCCGGCAGAGGCCTTCCTGTGCAGGAACCAGAGGAGCCTTGCAGGCTGGGCAGTGAGCACGAGAGCCCCCAGGGCCCAGCCCTGCCCCCGAGCACCCTCCGCGGGGCACCCCCACGTGAGGGGGGTCTCTTGGCCTGGCCTCACCATCTGGCACCTGGCTCCCCCACTCCCAGCTGGGGACCAAGTTCCTGGGTGGACTGGCAAAACGGGGAGGGAGCCAGGCAAACAGTGGGTGCTCACCGCCATCCGGGCCCCCGCAGCCCCGCTGAGCTGGCCTGGGGACCCCTGAATGTCCGCCAGGAGGCAGCACCTCCCCTCGCAGTGGGACCCCGGAGCCCTCCCCGGCCAGTGCCCCCTGGCGGTAAAGACCACGCGCCCACCACAGTGAGGGCCTCGTTTATTCGCAGCGGAGCCGGGCAGGCCACTCACATCTGATACTGTGCAGACCCGGCCCCCATCCCGCACCGGAGGCCCCACCCCTCACAACCGCTGGGAGGCCAGGACCTCAGGGTCCCCGCAGCCGTGGGCCTCTCTGGTGCTCTGAGGGAGGCTGCAGGGGCAGCAGCGGGTCACCAGGTGGTCCCAGGGCTCCAGGGAACGCAGCCAGAGGGGGAGCCAGGCCCAGGAGCGCAGGCGGCCGGGCAGCCAGGCGGGCCGGTGCCGCTGCAGGACGCAGACCAGGCCGGCAAGGAGCAGCAGCCCCACCAGGGGCCCCCCTACGGCGGCCAGCGCCGTGGCCCCAGCCAGGGAGAGCCCGAAGGCCAGCAGGGGAAGCAGCAGGAAGGTGAGCAGGAGGTAGGCGATGGCCACCCAGCGGTAGCGGGCAGTCAGGTCTCCGAAGCGCTTGGCCAGCGGCACGGGCAGCCGCAGGACGGGCAGTGTGTACCACAGCAGTATGCCCGCCAGGTTGAAGAAGAAGTGGATGAGGGCCACCTGGGGGGGGGGGGAGTCAGCAGCCTGGCGCTCCAGGCCCCCTGCCCAGCCCCCTGCAGACAAGGCCCCTGGCCTTGACCGGGGTCTGCCCAGCAGCCCAGACAGGCCACGCGAGAGGGAGGACCCTGGCGAGGGGTGGGCACGTCCCTCCCACACCATGGCTCTGCCATGCACACGTGGGCAGGGGCGGTCACCATGTCACCAAGGCCATCGAGGGAACCTGTCCACCCCTGGACTGGCCTGGCTGTGCCTGTGCGCAGTGGCTGGGTGCTTGGCCACCTCAACTCCTGTGGGTGCAGCAGGCCCTGGGCTGGGCGGAGTGAGGGGGCAGAGGCAAGGAGGCCAGGGGAGGCGGGCAGGGCCAGGCAGCAGCAGCCCAGCGTGGCCCGTCCAGGCACCCAGGCAGAGGGCATCTAGAGCCAGGGCAGTGGACACTGGGTGTTGTGGAGAGAGGAGCGGGGAGACACATCCTGCAGGTGTGGCGTAGAGGCACTCGGGGGCCCCCAGGCTGGGGCAGGCCCCCGGGGCGCACCCGAAGAGCACACTGTGCAGGAACAGGGTGCCGGGGGAAGAGCGGGTGGCCTGGGGACCCCACGCTGCGGAACGTCCCGGAAGTGACAAGTGTTGGGTGCTGCGGGTCTGTGGGTCCGGGGGAGCAGGGCTGCCGGCTGTGGCAGGCAACCAGGAGTCCAGGGGAGCTTGGCCAGTGGCCCCAGGGCAGGCCGCACGACTGCCCTGGGTGCGGGGGGTACTCAGGAGCCCCCAGGCCAGTGTCCCAGTGAGGAGGGGCAGTACCTGCACGGAAGGCAGCAGCATGTCGGCGGGGCTGGCCAGGGCGGCCAGAAGGGCCGTGGTCGTGGTGCCGATGTTGGAGCCCAGGAAGAGGGGGTACGCGCGGTCCAGGCTGATCACCCCGACCCCTGGGAGAGCAGGGGTCACCACCGGGCCCAGGCGGAACCCCTGCCCGAGGCCCCGCCCACCCCGCTCACCTATGAGAGGCACGATGGCCGCCGTGAAGATGCTGCTGCTCTGTAGCAGGAAGGTCAGGCCGGCGCCCACCAGGATGGCCAAGTAGCCGCTGACCCAGCCGAAGGGGAAGGGGAAATCTGGGGGCGGGGCGGGGTCAGTGCCGTCGGCCAGCGGCCGCTCCCCAGCCCCCGCCCGGCGCCCGGCCCACCGGCGTTGATGGCGGTCCTCACGGCGCCGGCCACGCGGCCGCGCAGCGCCGAGTTCAGCAGCTTCACCAGGAGGAGCAGGCAGGTGCAGAGCAGGAGCAGGGAGCCGGCCAGCAGGATGCAGCCCGCGGCCAGGTCCGTGAGCCCCGCTCCCACGAACAGGTGGTGGCCTGGGGGCAGGGGCACGGTGGTCAGCAGAGAGCGGCTGCGGGCGCGGCGGCCCGGGGCCGGGGGGCGGGGCTGGCGCGGGCCTCACAGGGCAGCTTGTCCGCCGGCACTGTTTGATTCCGCTGCTCAAACTCGCTGTTCCCCTGAGCCTGTGGCGGGGGGGAGCAGGGAGGACTCAGGACAGGCTCACTGGGCAGCTGGAGGTCAAGGGCGACTCAGCGGGTCAGGGGTCAGGGGTCAGGGCCACCTCACCGTCTCCCTGCCGGAGCCGCACCATCGCTTAATGAGGCTGCTGTTGGTGCCGCCAGTGAGCACGTCGGCGTCCAGCTGGGGGAGGGGGGGTTGTGTGCTGGTCGCTCCCTCCAGGCTCGCCAAGGGCTCAGATGCCCAAGGGATCGGCCCGGCCCAGCCCTGCCCGGCGTGCCCTCCCCTGCTCACCTGCACGACCAGGTGTGTGAGCGGCTTGGTGAGCACCTTGAGGATGTCGGGCGCCCGCCCGCCGGGCCGCAGGCTGGCGGCGCCCAGGGCCAGCTCGCTGAGCCTCTGCAGGGCGGCCGTCGCCCGCTCCAGTGGCAGCAGCACCAGCACCGTGAGCCAGTTGAAGATGCCGTGCACGGCCGAGCCGCCAAAGGCCCTGTGGCCACGCAGGGCGTGGGGAGGTGGCCGCGGCGTGCCGGCCCTGGCGGCCCCAACCTGCCCTCCTCCGGCCCCCGACTCACCTGCGGAACTCGTCCCGGTGGCCCACCTGCGCGATGGAGACCAGCGTGCTGGTGACGGCGGTGCCCACGTTGACACCCATGATGATGGGCACGGACGCCTGCACGGACAGCACTGCGGGGGCCCCCACGTCAGCTGCCCGCCACCCCAGCCGCCCGCCGCCCGGCCAGGCCCCAGCACTCACGCTTGGAGGCCACCATGCTGACCACGATGGACGAAGACGTGCTGGAACTCTGCACAAGCACCGTGACCAGAACGCCCAGGACCAGTCCGGCCACGGGGCTGGACAGCACCACGTTGTCCTTGAAGGCGTCCCCAGCCACTCTGCCTGCACCGGGGTGGGGGGGAAGGTGCCGGCTGCAGAGGGCTGCCCGCCCGCCCCGGCCCCGGAGGCGCCCGTCACTCACTGCCCAGCAGCTGGAAGGCGGAGCTCAGGATGTCCAGGGAGCAGATGAAGAAGTAGAGGCAGCCCAGGAGGCCCCCGGCTTTGAGGAAGCTGCCGGCCAGGCGGCCGAGCCTGCCGGCCACACTGAGCTCTGCAAACACAGGCCGGGGCTGTCCTCTGCCGGCCGCTCCGGGCCCCTCCTCCCCCGCCCCCTGGGAGGGCACGGCCGAGCACCCCGCCCCATCTCCCACTGGCGGGGTCCCACTTCCTCCTCTCTGTAACCCGAGGCACAGAGCCCCCCACCCCGTTCCTCTGCAGAGTGGCCGAGCCCACAGCCCCGGGGCTCCCAGAGCTGCCCTGCGGCAGGACGGAGCGGGCAGCTGGCAGGCAGCCGGCCTGCACGGTGGGTTCCCGAGGCCTGCCCGCCTGCTGCCCCCACACCCCCGGGCCTACCTTTCCAGGACTGGCCAGTGTCCTTCAGCTGAGGCAGTGCCCAGGGGTCTGTGCCCACCTCTTCCAAGACCAGGACAGAACTGGAGGGCCCTGCGGGGTGGGGGTCAGGAGGGCTGAGGCCAGAGGGCTTGCGGTGAGTGACAGCAGGAAAGGACGCTGGGTATAGCTGGGTGGAGCCCCAGGGTGGGCAGGGGGCCTGGTACCTGCATTTCTTAGACCCTGGTCCGCCAGGTCAGCCATGTTCGGAGGGCGGTGGGCAGCCTGGCCACCAGTGAGGGAGGCCGGCATGGGTCTGGGGCAGATCTGTGGGCAGGAGGGCAGGTGTGGGGCGCCCCTTTGGCTGTGCCTGTGGCACCAAGGAGGCTGAATTCAGGGCCCCCGGCACCCCCAGACCCGAGACATAGGCCTCCGCTCTCCTTCCTCACCCCTGCAGGCCTCTGTGTCCCCCCACCTCCGTCCACAGGAGGGTGGCCACAGTGATCTCCGGCTGCAGGCGGGCAGGCCCCAGGCAGCCTCAAGGACAGAGTCGAGGGCCCTGGCTCCTGTCTTCCTTGCGGGTCTGGCTGGACGAGGGTGCAGGGCACTGGGGACTTGTCCCACCGCGTGATGTCGGGGACGCTACGACAGTCCCGGCTTCGACGCTGGCATCCAATTCCACATGGCGCCATCGCCACTGGATGAGGGCCCCCCCACAGGGCAAGGAGCAGAGGAAGCGGCTTGGGCGCCCCCACCCCACTTCAAGACTCATCTCCCGGCAGCTTCTGCCTCCTCAGCTCCCGGGCTCGGAGCTGTCCATCTGATCCGTCCACCCCGACTGCCTGCTGGGCCTGGGGTCCTCTGGGGCACCCCCGCTCCTGCCTGCCCCCGGCTGCTCTCTCTTGTCCAGGTGTCCCCGACACGCACGATAGGACCCAAGCTCCAGGCCTGGAGGTCATTTGGGTTGTGTCAGTGGCCCTGGACCTCCCCCACCCCTGGTTCTAGGAGTTCCTACCTGTGTGGGTGGTCGGGGGCCCCTGTGGGGAGCTGACGGCGCAGCAGCCGCAGGTCAGAGAGCCTGGGTGCGCACATGACCTGCCGGCCGAGCCCCATTAATGTTTACCCAGCAGCTGAAGCTCCCGGGGGGCACCCTGCCTGGACCCAGCGCCCCAGGGCAAGGAGCGCGAAGCCCCCAACCCAACCCTCCTGGAGTGAGTGTTCTCCTGGGAGTGGGCCATGGGCCAACCAAGGGCACCATGGGGTAGGCGGGCATGCGACCTGGGGGCCGGTGGGCGGGCAGCCCAGCAGGGAGGGCGTCGAGTTCACAGCTGGGCTCTGGGCAGGGCAGGATGGGCAGGGCGCCTCGAAGGCCAGTGGCTGCAGAGGGAAGGGGGTAGAGCCCCCGACCCCCAGCCCCTGCCTCCCCCCTGCACGCTGCTCCCAGCCGAGCCCTGACCGCCCGTAGCTGGTGGGATGCCCCCTCGGGCCAGCCCCTCCCCCACAGGCCCGGCCTCCACAGCACCCCGCGCTGCCCACTGCCAGCCCCTCACTGGACACGGGGGGACTTTGGCCCGGAGGGGGGGTTCCCGAGTGTCTGTTCAGCAGATTCCCTTCCCTCCCCGCCCGTCCCACTCCCCACTGCCCGGGGCTCCCGGGGCAGCTCTTTCCCGAGGGGATGGGGCCCGGCGGTGCCGGCCGCTCTGAAGCGTCTGAGTGGTGGCGGCCGGCAGGTGCCGGCTCGGCTGAGCAGCGAGGCCGCAGCAGATCCCGACCCTCCGGGGCCTCGGAGTCCGGCCTGCCCCCGGCCCTCTCCCTGGTGCCTCTGTGTGTGCAGGGGACGGCGCCTGCACGGTGGGAGCCCAGGGAACACGGCTGAGTGGGTGCACCGCACGGGGCAGCCGGCAGGTCAGGGCTGACGTCGGTGGCCTGGCCAGGCCTCCCTGCCCACTGCTTGCCGATGCTTTATGGGAGTGGGGACGGCGTGGCCTGGCCCTGGTCCTGCACCTGGGACCCTGTCTGTCCTGAGTGAAGTCCAGGCCTGAGCCAGTCTGCAGGCAACCCTGATGGCCATGTCCCTGGGCCACACACAGGACAGCTTGGGGGTCTGGGGTTCTAGCGGGGAGGGGAGGAGGCGCTTCTTGTGGGGTCTCAAGGCTCGACAGCCCAGACCTGTTGGCAGCCCAGGGCGTCCACAGGGGGCTGTGCCCGGGGTGCCGTGCACAGGGTGGTTCCACGTGAGCCCTGCCCTGGGCAGCATGTCCTCCGCCAGGTGGGAATGGCCACAGCTCAGACCTCGGGGTTGCCCGGGGGGTCCCAGCAGCAGGAGCAGCAGCAGCGTCTGGGCCGGGGGCCCCAGGAGGGGCGGAGCCCGGCCGGCTGTTGTGTGACAGCTGTGCCACCCTTGAGAGGCGTGGGGGGCTGTGGCTCCACCCTCGAGGGCTCCCGCTCGGCCTTCACGGCCAGGAAGGCGGCCAGGTCGAGGTCCAGCATGGCCGCCCCTCCGCGGGGCATGGGCGTGCTCTGGCGGCACTGGGGGCAGGGGATCCAGCGCTGCTCCTGGGCCGGCGTGTCCAGCCGCCGCACGCACGCCTGGCAGAAGGTGTGGCCGCAGTAGAGGCGGCGGGGCAGGTGCCCTGAGAGGTCGTAGGCCGAGTAACAGACGATGCACTCATTCCGCCGCGGCCTGGGGGTTGGCCCCTCCTCTGAGGCTCGGGGGCCCTGGGGCTGCAGCATCCTGGGGGAGGAACGCAGCCCACATCGCCCAGAGTGTCCACCCGGGAGAGCGGGAGCCCAGCCGTGGTGGAGCCGGGGGAGCCAGGGTGGTGGGGGCCGCAGGGTGTGCCTCTCGGGGCCCCTCCAGCCCGCCTGAACCCCAGTCTTACCTGCATGCGCTCCGCCCGGTGGCTGTGCCCAGCCGGAGCTGGAGGAGGGGTGGGGGCCCAGGGCTCTCTCCTGGCTCGCGTTACCGGCACGGGGGAGTCAGCAGGGAAGCAGGCAGCGGCTGTGGGCATGCGGGCGGGTGGGGTGGGCTCCCCTTTCAGCCACAAAGCCTTGCAACTGGATCTGGAGGCACCTCCCGCCCTGCAGGAGATAAGGGCCCCTCTGCTAACTGGACCAGCTCTCCCTGCCCAACCCCCACCAGGCCCGGCCCTGCACTCACCCCCCCCCCAACCTCAGGGCTCTCCCGCGGTGTTCTCAGTCCCCAGCTCCTGGGCCACCGCCTCCAGGAAGCCTGCCCTCCACCTCCAGCTCAGAGCCTCCAGGGCTTCCGCTCCTCCCCATGTGCTTGTCGGTCCTGGGTCCCCGCCTGGCGCGGCCTGTGCTGTTTCCATCGGCCACAGGCCCCCAGGTGGCGCTCCAGCTCCGTGTGAGACCCCCCCCCCAAACGCGGCCACCCCAAAGCTCTCAGAGGTGCCAGGCGTTGCCGACGACGCCAGAGGCCCCCGCCAGAGGGCACCTCCAGCTGGCTGCCTGCGCAGCTGCAACCTAACGGCCAGCCCGGGGAGCACGGGTTCCAGGGGATGCGGTCGGAACTTGCGCCCCGCAGCCCTGCTGGAAGCCAGGGGCCTGGAGGCCCCTCCTGGCCAGGAGCCACCCCTTGGCCGTCTGCCCCAGGACTGGTCAGGCAGGTTCCGGGACTGGCCTGGGTGGGGTCATCACCCACTGGGGGGCGGGGGAGAAGGAACAGGGAGCCTGGCACAGGCAGTCCCGTGCAGTCAGGACAGTGACCTCCGCATGCCACACTCCAGCCCTGCCCTGCTGAGAGCAGAGGGCGGCTCAGCAGGAGGACCCGTCCGTCCAGCGAGGCCGGCTCAGCTCCCGCCTCCGTGAAACCAAGGCATTCCCAGAGCCGGCCCCGCGGCTCACTCCCCGTTCCGGCATCCGGGTCTTCCCGGCAGGCACGTTCCCTGGTGCAGAGCCAGGCGCAGCCCGGCTGGCCGGGGCCTCTGTAGCACCCATGGCTGCAGCCTCCCAGCCCTGCCCTTCCTGGTCTTCCGGGCTGCTCCGTCCTCAGGGGACAGGTCAGCCGGCCAGCAGCACGGCCCAGGGTGTGCAGGAATTAGATGTTTCATGGGAAACCAGAAAAACACCCTGGCTGAGACTGGGAGGTGACTCACGGGCGGGCAGGGTTCAGCCCTCAGCTGTGCCTCCCCGAAACCTGCCACCACCTCTTCCTGCCGTCGGACCCGGCCTGGGTCGCATCCCTGGCCTGGGAGTGCGGGCGGCAGCTCCAACCCAGGCCAGGCCCAGCCAGGCCCACGGACACACTCCCACCCCCTGCAGCCCCGGGCCCACACACTGTCACGGGGGCAGTGGCTTTCCTGTCCCTAGAACGTTCCACGGAGGCCAGGAGACTATTACAGGGCTGCGGGGGCGGGGCAGTGCTGTCGTCCTTCCTGCCCCCCACCCCCCCCAGGCCAGCAACAGAGGACAGGAGCCACCGGACAGCGCGCACCCTGCTTTATTGTCTGGGCCTCCGAGGAGGTGGCCTCAGGTGTCCCCGAGTGCCCGGGACTCCACACCAAGGGACCGGCCGAGCTGCCAGCCTTCCCGACGGGCAGGCGTCCTGGCGAGCGGGGAGCGGCCATCCTCGGGGTCTGGGCTAGGAGACGACGCAGCAGCTGTGGCAGCGGCAGAAGCGGGGGCAGTGGCAGCAGGAGCAGCAGGGGCAGCAGCAGCAGTGGTGGGCGATGTCGTCGCCACGCCCCACGGGGGGCAGGCCAGCATAGGTCAGTCCCGCCGGGCGCTGCCCGGGGCCATAGGGGTTGCTGGGCTGCTGCCAAGCCTGCTGGCTCTGGCCGAGGGCCACCCCCGGGGTCCCCTTGGCCCCTTGGGCCCCCTTGGGCCCCAGAGTCTGGGGGTGCTGCAGAGGGCTGGCCGGCCGGGGGGCACAGGGCCCCTCGGGCAGTGGCTGTGTCACTGAGGATGTCGAGCAGGGCGCGGCCTCCAGCTGCTGCCCCAGGGCCGGCCGCAGGTGGGCCCGGGGGATGCTGATGTGGGCGAACGGGTTCTTCACAACCATCTCGTGGGGGTCCATGGCCCAGGCTGCAGGGGTGGACAGACACAGACGGGGCCTCAGGGAAGGGCAAGGCTGCCTGCCAGCCATGGCCCAGGAACGCGCCGACTAGGCAAGGCCTGCTTTGCCCATGCCCCCCGCCCACGGAGACGGCAATGCGCGGGCCCAGCCCGGGGCCACTCACCTGCCCCCCAACCCCACCTGCCCACGGAGACGGCAGTGCGCGGGCCCAGCCCGGGGGCAGCTGTGAGACCCAGCCAGGGCCGCGGGCCGAGCACTCACCGGCGCTGGCAGGGTGGCCGGCTGACCTCGGTCTTCGGGGCTCCTGGTCCCAGTGCCTGTGACTGTTGTGACTGGCAGCCGCCTTTTCCCTGCTGGGGCAGGGCGGGGCCGCGGGGCGGGCCAGAAGGGGTTCCCCCGGTCTCCGAGGCCCACCCCTCACTCAGGTGGGCGGCAGCTCCAAGGGCACGGCTGACCGGGGGTGACTCAGGCGCGAGGCATCCAGGGCTTGCCCCGGGCCCTCCAGGGCACCTGCCGCCCGGCCCCAGCCCGGAGGTGGGTCAGGCCCGCGCCGCGCGCAGGGGCGGGGATGGCGACCCGCCGGGCCGGCGCGGGAGGAGGCGCGTGGCTTCTTGTGCGACCCGCACACCGCCGTCGATAAACCTCAGTCTGAGTTCGGGATGCGGGCCACGCCGTCGGCTCCCGTGCGGGACCGGGGCTGCCCTGCGCCGGCGGGCTCGGGGGCTGCGCGCCCACCCCATGGTGCCAGCCCGGCCAGGGGCGCCGTGAGAGGGGGTGTGTGACAGCGCGGGAGGCACTCGGGGCCGCCCCACGCGCGAGCGCCCCCGGACGGAGCCGGCCCGGACCCTGCACCTCCGGACGTCGGCGCCCGCGAGCAGTACCAGGAGGGCGGGCCCAAGCTGGACACGAGCCGCAGGCCGGGTGCCCGCTGCGGTCAGCACGCGGGGCCAAGGTACTCGGAGCCCCTCGGGGGCAGACCCTGGAAGCCCCACCCCCGGGCAGCCTCAGACTCCGCCTCCCAACCTGGCGCACGCGCATTTCAGGCACGGGCCGCCGGCGGAACCTTTATTCCCCAGAAACCTCCGCGTTCCAGGGCTGCCCGGAAGACCCGGGTCGGACGGATTCGGCTCGGAACCGCGAGGCTGGTGCGCCCCAGCCTGGGCGGGGCCTCGCGCCGGAGGGGGCGGGGCTTCGAGGCGCGGGGCGGGGCCTGCGGCTGGTGCCGGCAGGTGCGCGGCCGCGCGACTCGGTGGCTCCACGCGCAGAGCGCGCGGCAGGTGTGGGCCCGAGGCCTGTTCCGGGCGAGGCTGCCCCGGCCGCAGGCCGCCACCGAGCTCCTTCTCCCCTGTGCACCTCACATCAGTAAAGCTGCCCAGACCCTGGCCCGAGGCCCCAGGGCGGCCACGCCGTGCCCTGTGGGCCAGGGACGCCCTCCAGCCTGTGCGGCCGACTCCCCGACACCGTACCCCAGGGGCTTTGCGCCCAGGGCGCGCGTTCCCGCAATCGGCTGGTCTCGCGCCCTGCCCTGCCCCGAACCTGCGTGCCCCCCGCGCAGCGCGGGACCCGGCACGTGGGCGCCCGGCGGCCCCACAGCTGTGGGCTACCGCAGACTCGCACGCCACCCTGCGGCGGGCCGCCCACGCTGCTGCCCACCTCCCGGCCACCACACCGTCGCCTTGGAGCCCGCCAGGGGCTCGGGCGATGGCCGCGGAGGCGCAGCGGCCTCCCTCCCGCAGCACGCACGGCGGATGCGAGCGGGCCTAGAGCCGTCCCCCTGCGCCCCTGGCAGCGCGGGCGCCGAGGCTTCGCCACGTGAGCGCAGGAGGGGGCGACCCCAGGGCCTACCGGGGGCGACGCGGGGGCGGGCTCAGGCCCGGAGCGGCTGGAGGGGCGGCGAGAGGCTGGCCCCGCCCCGCGGACCCCGCGCGGGTCCCCAGACGGGGGGTGGCGCTGCGGGCGCGGGCGGGCGCCGCGCGCACTGCGGTCCCCGCGCCGCCGCCGCCGCCGCAGAGCGCGCCACGCTCTGCACGCACCTGCCGCCGCCGCCGCCGCCGCCGCCGCCGCGCCGAGCCCCGCGCCCCGCGCCCCGCGCCCGCGCCCGCGCCCACGCCCCTGCCCCTGGGTGTCGCCCGAAGCCGCGCCATCGCTCGAGGTCGCCGCTGGAGCCGCCGCAGCCGCGCCCGGGCCTGCCTTTGAGACAACCTCTGCGGCGGCGGCGGCGCGCGGCCCGCGGACGCCAGGCTGGGGCAGGTGAGCGGGCGCGGGCGCGGGCGGGGGGCGGCCCGCGGCCCCTCCCCACCCCGGCGGGGGTCGGGCTCCCGGAGGGCGCGCGCGGCCGCGGGGGCGGGGTCCGTGTTCGGAGTCCGGCCGAGGTCGAGGCCCCCCCGGCTGAGGTCAGGGTCAGAGGTCGGGCGCCGCGTCCTTCGCGCGGGGCGGCGGGGAGGGTGCGGGGGCCGCGCGCTGCGCTCACGCCGCCTCTCTCCCGCAGCTCGGGCCTGCTTCAGGCCTCTCCGCCGCCGCCGCCGCGGAGCCTGCAGCCCGGGCCCTCCCGCAGCCGCCGCCGCCGCCGCCGCTCCGGCTAGCTGCCTTCCCTGGGCGCCCTGTCCTGGAGTCATGGGGCCCACCTAGCCCCTGCCCGCCTCGATGTCCCCGCCCGCGGACTGCTGACCTCGGCTGCAGGGGGAGAACCCCCCACGCCCCCCGCCCAGCCCCGGCGGCCAGAGACCCTGGGTGAGCCCCTGGGTGCGACCCGCGGCCCAGGACAGCCCCCTGCCGGCCCCTGCCCCTGCCTGCCGCCCCCGCCTCTCCCTCCTGCCCCTAGGACTGGACCAGAGAGGCCACTGTGGCCCCTGGGGGGGGCCCTGCCCTCCCAGCTCGCGCCAGCCGCCCCCAGGGGTCCGCCCCGGGCCTGGCTGGACCAGGATGCTGCCTGGCCCCAGCCAACGCCCGCGCCCACCCGAACGCGCCGTCTGAGCGGGGACAGCCCGATGCCGGCTGAGCCCGGGCCCGAGGTGGGCAGTGGCTGGCCGGGCCTGCTCATGTCCTGCCTGAGGGGTCCCCACGTCATCCTCAAGATGGAAGCCATGAAGGTCGTGCACCCCGAGAAGTTCCCCGAGCTGCCGGCAGCCGCGCCCTGCTTCCCCGCGGCGCCGCGGCCCGCCCCCGCGCTGGCCCCCAAGCGGGCCTGGCCCTCCGACACCGAGATCATCGTCAACCAGGCGTGCGGGGGCGACGCGCCGGCCCTGGACGGGGCGCCCCGCACTCCGCCCCCGCCGCGGCGGCCCCGCAAGGGCAGCGTGGAGCTGGGCTTCCCGCGCGTGGCGCCGGCGGACGAGGTCATCGTGAACCAGTACGTGGTGCGGCCGGGCCCCGCGGCGGCCGCGGCGGCCTCGGCGGCCGGCGAGCCGCTGCAGTGCCCCACGTGCGGGCACACGTACAATGCCACGCAGCGGCGGCCGCGCGTGCTCTCGTGCCTGCACTCGGTGTGCGAGCAGTGCCTGCAGATCCTGTACGAGTCGTGCCCCAAGTACAAGTTCATCTCCTGCCCCACGTGCCGCCGCGAGACTGTGCTCTTCACCGACTACGGCCTGGCCGCGCTGGCGGTCAACACGTCCATCCTGAGCCGCCTGCCGCCCGAGGCGCTCACCGCGCCGGCCGGGGGCCAGTGGGGCGGCGAGCCGGAGGGCAGCTGCTACCAGAGCTTCCGGCAGTACTGCGGGGCCGCCTGCACCTGCCACGTGCGGAACCCGCTGTCCGCCTGCTCCATCATGTAGCGCCCGCCTGCCCGCCACCCCCCTCCCCCGGCAGTCCCTGCTCGCTGCTGCCTCGGGGCCTGGCCCTGCCCTGCCGCCGCCGCCCCTTCCTCGCCCACCATGGCTTCTGGCCCACCCCGCGTGGCACTGTCACTTCAGCCAACTTTGCCATTAAAACTGCCAAAGTTTGCACCTGTTCCCGGATTGGTGCTGGCTCCCTGGGCTGGGCCTGGGGGCCGGGCGGAGGGTGGGGCCCAGGACTGCAGTCTGGATGGGGTTCAACCTGGAGCCTGTGAGAGGAGGCCCAGCTCTGCCCGCGGGGGGACCCAGCTGGGCTGAGCCCGCTCAGGAGGCCAGGCCTGGTGGACAGGTGCTTGGGTCCCTGTGTGGGACCACGGTGGGGGCTGCCTAGGGGACAACCCAGATTTCCCTCCTGGTGCCACCTGGGTGCCCTAGGGCCGTGGGGGCATGGCTGCTGGGAGGACCCAGGGCCCTCCTGGGTCTGGAGAAGGGACAGCCAGGCAGGGTGGACAGACCACGCAGTGGCGTTTATTGTGCCGCTGTGCACGTGGCACTGCTCAAGGCTGGACCTGGGGCCTGGCTCACTCAGGAGCCAAGGCCCGGGCTGGTGGCCCGAATGCAGGCCTCTCAGGGTCACACTTGTCCCTTCCTGGGGCTGCTGGGGGCCTGACCACGGCCAGGGCTCTTCAGGTTCCGTCTGCTGTGCCCGGCTGGGCCTCGGCAGGGAGGGGGTGTGCCCCTGCCGGCACAGTGCCCGCCGGCTGCTCACAGGCTGTGCTGCAGGCCCAGCCTCCTGCAGCGGCTGTCCTTGGCTCTGGTGTCCTTGGGGCTCCGCTGGAGCCGGGGCAGCAGGGTGGTGTGGACGCCAGCTGGGTGGCCTGGGCCCTGGGCTTGGCGGTGGCAGGTCCTCGTTGCTGGCCGGTGCCCCGGTCCACCCTTGGGTCTTCAGGCCGGTGGTGTCCAGGGCCGTCCTGGGCGCGGTCAGCGGCCGGTGGTGTCCAGGCCGTCCTGGGCGCGGTCAGCGGCCGGTGGTGTCCAGGCCGTCCTGGGCGCGGTCAGCGGCCGGTGGTGTCCAGGCCGTCCTGGGCGCGGTCAGCGGCCGGGGCGGTCCAGGAGCACGAACAGCAGCCCCAGCAGCAGCAGCGGCGTGAAGATGAGCAGCAGCCCCAGCAGCTCCAGCGCCAGCAGCGCCAGCAGCGCCAGGCGGCGCGCACAGGGCCCCTGCTCCCTCAGCGCCCACAGCCGGGCTCCCAGGCAGGGAGGGCAGGGCAGGAAGGGCAGGCAGCCCCGGCCGCCCGCGGGCCCCGCCAGGAAGCGCAGCTGGTAGCGGTGCTCCAGGGAGCCCCAGGGCCCGGGCCCCCGGCGGGGCGGGGCGGGGCGCTCGGGGGGTGGGGGGCGCTGGGGCCCGTCGGCCTGGAGCAGCTCCTCCTGCAGCCGGCAGATCTCCCACTCCAGCACGGGCGTCTTCTGGCGACACAGCGGGCAGCGCACCCGGCCCAGGTCGACGCTGGGAGCTGTGCCCAGCAGCCGGTGCAGGCAGCCCACACACAGGCCGTGGCCACAGTTCAGCAGGGCCAGGCGCTGCTGGCCAGGCCCGTAGGGCTCTGTGCAGATGGGACACTCCTCCTCTGCCCCCTGCCCACGCACCTGCTCCTCCCACCCTGCTGGCAGGGCCCAGATACCAGCCAGGGCAGCGGCCCCCAGCAAGGGCTCACTGTCCCGAGGCCTGGCGCCCTGGGGGACCCCAAGGTCATCTCTTTCATCTGCTGGCTCCTGGTACGGCGGGTCCAGGCCCTCAGGGTCCAGAGAAGTCCAAGGCAGGCCGCTGGGCTCAGAGCTGGGCTGGCCCAAGGTGGGGGCGGGGGCACCCAATTCCGGGGTGGAGGCCCTGGGGCCGGAGTCAGGGCGGGTGGGTAGGGAACCCAGCGTGGTGGTGGGGGTCATCAGGGGCGTGAAGGTCAGCGTGGCCCTGAGGCACCGCGCGGGGTCTGGGCTCCGGGCTCCACCCACAGCTCCGGCACTGACCTCCAGCTCCCTCCAGGCTTGCTGGCCCCACTGCAGGTCCTCACCTGGGACCCAGCGACGAGCCAGCTCCAGAGGGCTCCTGGGCCCATGCGGTGCCGTCCCCAGGCAGACCTGGTCTGAGCCTGGCCCATCCACGTCCAGTCCCGGCCAGCGACTGACCAACAGGCAGAAGCCCAACAGCTCCGGTGTAAGCAGGCACCGCCCAACCCCTCCAACAGGATTTCCCCGTCCGAGCAGGCGAAGCCCCTCCCAGGGGCGGCCCAGCGCCCGCCACGCCCCCTCCGGGCCACGCCCCCCCGCGTCACTCCCCCAGCTCCGTGGGCAGAGCCGGCTGGGGAGCAGCCTGGGCCCCCTGAGCCGCTCCCTGCTGGGCCATCAGAGGAGGGCAGACCTGCGGGAGCCCCTGGGCACAGGGTGACCGCACAGCGACCAGGCACCCAGGCTGCAGCAGCACCTCTGGCACACGCAGCCCAGCAAGGGTACCCAGAGGCACACGTGGGCACACACGTGTACCCAGAGGCACACACATACACCCAGAGGCACACGTGGGCTCATACGTGTACCCAGAGACACACACATACACCCAGAGGCACACGGCACATACGTGTACCCACATGCACACACATACACGCAGAGGCACACGTGGGCACACACGTGTACCCACAGGCACACACATACACCCAGAGGCACACGTGGGCACACACGTGTACCCACAGGCACACACATACACCCAGAGGCACACGTGGGCACATATGTGTACCCACAGGCACACACATACACCCACACACACCTGCAGGCACCCACATACACATACGAGTACACACATACACCCACAGGCACATGCATACACCCACATGCACACGCATACACCCACACACATGTGCACCCAGTCACATACGCACACCCACATGCACACGTGTGTGCACACACACACCCTCCTGTGGCCCAAGCTGAGCAGGAAGAAGGGAGACAGCACACGCGGCAGTGGTCAGAGGCTGCGGTTTACTGCCCTGGCCCCGCTGTCCCTCGGGAGGCTGGGGTCTGCACTGAGCCTGGGGTGGCACCGTCCCTGCAGGCTGACAGGACTGGCAGGAGGCAGAGGCGGTGGTGGGCTGCTGGGCTCCCGAGCCATCGGGTGCCTCCGGGTCGCCGTTCCCGTGCAGGGTGCCGTGGCTCAGGGCACCACCTGATAGGCGGAGGATGTGGACGGGGCTGTGGCTGGGGGGTGGGGCAGCCGGGGACAACCGGGGCGTGGCTGTGAGGAGCCACCGTCCTGGCCGGCAGTGTGACAAGGACTGGGGTCCGACGGGGCCAGGGAGCGGCTGGGGGGGGAAGCAGGTCAGGCCCAGGTCTCCGTCTGGAAGCGCCGCGTCGCCTGGAGCCTGGCGAGGTAGGCGGCAGCCTCAGGGCCGGAGAGCCCGCCCTCCTCCTGGAAGATGGCGGCCAGGGCCTCGGAGACCTCTGTCGGCAGGTGCTTGGCATTGCTGCAGGGACGGCCACCGGGAGCCGTGAGGCGGGACCTGGGGACCCTGGGGGTGGGGCGAGGCCCTCCCGCCCGCGGTGCCGCTCACCCTGCCAGGTAGAAGCAGGCCCCACGGCGGTCCAGCAGCTCCCACACCAGGGGCCCCAAGTCCCGGAGCCGGTGCTGCACGTACACTTTGTGCTCCTGCGGGCGGGGGCAGGGCAGGCCCTGAGTGTGAACCCCTCCCGCCCCTCCCCACCCCCCTCGCCCTGCGCGGCCCACCTGCTCCCGGGAGAAGGCGGTGACCAAGGTCAGGCAGCCCCTCTTCTCCAAGAGCCGCCACTCAGCCTCCCAGTAGAAGTCCTGGTCCCTCAAGCGGCAGCCGAAAAACAAGCAGTTCCCTGGGGGACGCAGAGCAGCCCTGAGCGGGGCCCCGCCCGCCCGCCCGCCGCCCGCCGCCCGCCGCCCCGAGCGCTCACCTGTGCGGCCCTGGGCCACACGCTCCTGGACAGCTGCCCGGAACGGGGCCACACCGGTGCCAGCCCCCACCATGACCACGGGCGTGTCTGCCGTCTCTGGGAAGGCCAGGCTGCCAGGCCGCACCCACAGGGGCACCTGTACAGGTCCTGCCACAGGAGGGAGGCGGCGTGAGGCGGCTCAAGGGACGGGCTGAGGGGCCTGGGCGTGGCCATGGGAGTAGGGGTCACCTTGTCCAGGGTCCAGGGACGCCAGCCAGGAGGAGCAGAGGCCCCGGCGCGGCTCCTTGAGGCGGGTCCGGTACTGCACCACGGCCACCAGGATCTGCAGCCGCGCCGGGTGCACCTGCGGGGACAGTGTGCACCCTGGCCAGCTAGGACCAGTCTGCTGCCAGCCACAGGCCCCACCCACGCCGCCCAGGGCAATGGGGGGAGGGGCAGGGGGCCACGGCCCTCGGCCCGCCCACGGTCACTCACCAGCAGCGAGGAGGCGATGGAGAAGGGGCGAGGGCGGATCAGGGGGATGAGGTCCAGCAGGTAGTCCGGGGGGATGGCGCCCGCGGTGTGGGGGAAGTCACACAGCACCTGGGGGCCGGCGCTGGGTGAGGCCGGGCGGGGCGGTTTGTAAAGCCTGGGCAGCTCTGCCCCGCCCCGCCCGGCCTCACCTCCAGGATGGTGCGGCGGGGCCGGGAGCAGTACTCGTGGCGCTGCTCCTGGCCGGACGCCGACGAGAACTCCTGCAGCTTCTCCCGCTCCAGCTCGTGCGGGGACAGACAGGCCAGGAGCTCGAAGAAGGAGCGGCGGGGCACGCTGGCGATGTCCAGGTACCGCGACACCAGGTGCCCAACGGAGCAGGGCTGCGGCAGCCCCTCCAGGCCGGGGGTACCTGCCGTGGGGAGCAGGAGGCCTGGGTGGCCGGCCGCGGACACGGGTGGGGAGGGCGGGGAGGAGCAGCAGCTCGGCCGGGCTTACCTGGCTCCTGCGGCCGCAGCCAGAAGCGCTGGTTGGGGTCCAGGCCCAGTACCTGGCAGAACCGCTGGACGTGGTCGGCGGTGTTGGAGGGCTGGATCAGCACCACGTCACCGGCGGCAAAGCTGGGTGGGGGTTGGGGGAGGGGCTTGCGGAGGGAGGCCACGTTCAGGCCTCCCCAGCCGAGCTGCCATCTCCCCGCTCCAGCGGGGGCTCGAGAACCCTGCGCCCACTGCCCCACCCCGAGCCCCAAGCTCCCGGGGACGCCTCCACACCCCGCTGCCCTGCCTGTCTGGGGACGAGGCTGTGTCAGGCCCCTTACCTGATGCCAGAGCCCGTGATGTCAAACTCTATCAGGCGGACGTCCTGGAAGTGTGAGGGGCCGGTGACCCTCTGGTTGGTGACCATGGGCGCCAGGAAGGGCCGCAGCTCTGTGGGCGGCCCCTGAGGGTCAGCACCAGCCTCGCGGGGCTCCTCCGAGCCCACGCTGGAGCCCTCCTGAAGGAACTGCAAGGTGAACTTGGAGGGCAGGCTGTGGGGAGGGCGTGGGCGTCAGAGCCTGGGCTGCCTTCCGGGGCCCTCGCCCACCCCTCGGGGAGGCCCACACTCACGGGACTCCCGGGGGGATCACGGCGAGGCCGGCGGGCACGGGGTACAGCCCCAGTACCTTCTCCCACAGGCTCTGCAGCCAGGGGTCGATGGCGGCATCAGGCCTGGGGGGATGGGCACGAGCTGAGGGCGTCCTGCCCGTGGCGGGGCCCTGCTGGCCGCGCCACGGCACCGCCCCCTGCTCTCACCCCAGCTCGTGCTGGTCATCGCCCAGGCAGGCGGGCAGCAACGCGCTGCCACCCAGCTGCAGCAGCCGGCGGTACAGCTTCTTGGCCACGAAGTTGAACCTGCAGAGACAGCGCGGCCGGCCCAGGCTTGGCAGAGCCGAGGAAGCTCCGGGGCTGGGAAGTAGCCTCGTTCCCGTCGGCCCTCATCCGGGTGCCCGCAGGTGGGAGCCAGGACTTGCGGGGGCCACCTGTCTTCCCGGGCGCGGTTTCCTCTGTGGGGAGTGCCCCCCCGGTCACCAACACCACGTGGAGCGGTCCCAGGTCCTCACTGCCTGTGCCTCCCACTGAAGGGACTCGGGGGTGCCTCACCTGCGGGCACGGCCACCCCGCCCTTCTGGGACCGCCAGGCGGTCTTCCACGTCTGCCGAGCGACACTGCTGCTTGTTTACGGCAGGCCGAGGAAAACCAGAGGCAGCCCCCCCCCTCGGCGGAGCCCTGTGGAGGGGCGCCGGCCCCACGGAGAGCGTGCATGGCCGGGACGCAGCTCTCGCCCCTCCCGCCCAGCGCCCACCCGCCTCGGACTCACTTGGCGTAGGAGGAGTCCCCAAGGCCCAGGACGGCGAAGTCCATCTGGCAGAGGGAGGTGGGCGGCAGGCGCTTCCGGAACAGGAACCTCCAGAAGTTCTGAAGCCGCAGGGAGCTGTGAGAGCCCGGCTTCCCCCGGCGCCCCGCAGTTGGTGCTGACGGCTGGGCGCTCGGCCCCACCCACGCCCACGCCCACGCGGAGACCCAGCTGCAGGTCTGGCCTCCCGGGTTCAGCCCGGCCCAGGCCTGGCTTGCAGGCAGACGAACATGGACACCTGGAGCAACACGACTGCTCTGCCGCCGCCACCGTCCAGGGAAGGCAGGTGGCCCCGAGGCCGCCCGGAGCAGGCACTCACGAGGTGGGGGGCGAGCTCGCTGCCTCCCGCGCCCCCTCCCCTCGTCTCCCCGTCCCAGCAGCGGTTCTGGGCTGTGCTGCTGGGACCCCTCCCCCCGCCCCCGCCCTCACAGGGCCACCCCAGGAGCCCCAAACCTGAACCCCGACCTTCCTTGTCCGTGACCAGAGCGGCCCTCCGCGCTGCCCCTCTGCTCCTCCCACCACCGCCCTGCAAGGGCGCCTCAGCCCCTGCGCGCCCACCGCCCCTTCTGTGGGTGAGCAGAAGGCCTGGACCTGAGAGCTGTCGCCCCACGGCTTCCGGCCCACCTGCCTGACCGCCGCTGCCCGGCCACTCTGCACTGGGCCTGGCTTCCTGCCGCCCCTCCCTGCAGCGCCAAGCACCCTCCTCCCGGGCCTGGCGCCCCGCTCGCTGCAGGACCAGAGGCTCTGCTCGCACCCCGCGGCTGGGCCCCCCTAGCATCTGGCACCTTCCCCAGCCGCGGGCACTTCCGGCGCCGACTGGACCGCCCAGCACGCTCGCTGCTTCTGCTCCCGGGAGCCCCGGCCCCAGCCCGTGCCCAGGCTGCACCGAGACCTAAAGGCCCTTCCCCGGGAGCCACAGGAGACCAGACCCGCCTGTCCGCGAGCGGTGAACACGGAGGGCGAGGCTTCTCCGACAGCACCGGCGGAGAGCCACTGACTACCGCCGGTGTCTCTCCAAGTGCGGGGCGGAGCCCCCGGGCCAGCCTTACCTTCATGTTGTCCGGGGGGTCTCCCTGGCCTGCAGTTGCACAAACAAATACCACCAGGCGCTCGTTGATCAGGTTCACCTCAACGAGAAGACACGCAGGTAAGACCTCGTGCGGGGACACCGCACCGAGGGCGCCCCCTGCGAGCACCCCCGCGGCCCGGCCCCCTCCCCGCGCCCCCGGAGCGCTCACCACCGCGTAGGAGTCCAGCGCCTGCACGCGGCAGCCGAGCCTCCGGCGCCGGGCCTCGCGGCCCAGCCTCTCCGCCACATCCTGGGCCGTGCCCGTCTGGCTGCCGAACAGCACCAGCAGCTGCGGGCTCGGCATCGCGGCTCCCCCGGCGGGCGGTCCCCGCCACCAGGTGCACCGCCGGCGCCCGCCGCGAGGCGACTTCCGCTTTCCGCCGCCCACCGGAAGTGACGCACTTGGGCCGCGCCCGGCGGGGCATGGCGTCCGAGCGCCGCGGGCGTCGGCGGGCGGCCGGTGCGGGGTTCCGGGCGGCGGCCGGGGGCGGCGGCGGCGCGGCCGCTCGCTGCCTCGCGCTCGCGGCGGTTGCGGGGGCGGCGGGCGAGGCCCCGGGCCGCGCGCGGCCGGCGCCATGCTCTTCTCGCTGCGGGAGCTGGTGCAGTGGCTGGGCTTCGCGCCCTTCGAGAGCTTCGTGCACCTGCTGGCCCTGCTGGTGTTCTCCGTGCTGCTGGCGCTGCGCGCCGACGGCCTGGCGCCCGGCCTGTCCTGGTGGAACGTGTTCGTGCCGCTGTTCGCCGCCGACGGGCTGAGCGCCTACTTCACCACCATCGTGTCCGTGCGCCTCTTCCAGGACGGGGAGAAGCGGCTGGCCGTGCTGCGCCTGTTCTGGGTGCTCACGGTGCTAAGCCTCAAGTTCGTCTTTGAGATGCTGCTGTGCCAGAAGCTGGTGGAGCAGACCCGGGAGCTGTGGTTCGGCCTCATCGCGTCGCCCGTCTTCATCCTGCTGCAGCTGCTCATGATCCGCGCCTGTCGGGTCAACTAGCCCCGCGGCGGGGGTGCGTGCCCGGGCCTGTGGGCCGGCTAGTCCCGCGCCGGGAGTGCGGGACCCCGAGCCCGGGGCGTGGGCCAGCCGGGGCCCCACCTCCGCCCGCTGCACCAGAGACAGCGCCTGCTCCTGCCTAGCCGAGCGGCCACTTTGCTGCCCAGAAGTCGTGGCTGACATTGCTTCTCCCGTTAGCTCGGGGCCTGCACAGCAGCTGCCCCGCTGGACTCAGGGACTTCCTGGCCCGGCTGTGCTGACCCAAGAGCTCCAGTCGCACCGTGCTGTCCAGGCTGTGTGAGATGGTGGATCTCCTGCCTGATGTCCTTTCTCCATCCCGGCCACCACGCAGGGCCTGAAGGACGTCAGACCGCGTCCGCTGTCAGCTGGGAGCATCGCTCTGCCGTGGGGTTGGCCGAGAGGAACAGGTGCCCGGTGCCCTGAGGATTGAGACCTGCAGGTGGGAAGCGGGGTGGCCGGCTCTGTCGGCCGCGGTCTTTGGTCTGACGCAGTTGGGTGCCAAGTGGGAACATCTGCGATAAAAATAAAAGAGAATCTTTCCGGAAAGGCGCGGGTTTTCTGTGCGTCCTGAAGACGGGCCCCTGCGTGGGTCTCACGGCGGGGCTTGGGGTGGACCTGGAGGGGAGGCGAGCGGGGGGCGCCGCGGGGGGCGCCCAGGTGAGGGCACCTGCCATGTGTGGCTCTGCAGGGCCGGGAGCAAAGCTGCCCTGAACCCTGGTTTCCCGCCACTCGTGAGCTGGGGAGGCTTCCACGTTTAGAAGGGTTCGGGATGAAGGGTGTGTGACGGTGGCCGCGGCCCGAGTGGCAGGGCAGCACCCGGCACCTCGGCCGACGGGGCCTGGCCGTCCTCCGAGGACGGGTGCTGGCCTGAGGCTGTAGGGCGTCCAGCAGTGTCCACGGCCTCTAGGGCTCGGGACCGCTTTTCCCAAAGCAGGTGTGCTGACCCTGCTGTGACAGCCTGTCCAGCCTGTGGGCCTGTGTCCCCTTGCCTGAGGGGTGCCGGTCCTGTAGGCTCGCTACCGCACTGCCCTGCACTTGGGAGACCCCTGGCCGGGTCAGTCTCACTACCAAGATGTCTCCGGCCCAGGACTGACCTGCGTTGTCAGAGTCGGACACCAGCTGGCGCTGGGAGTGGGTGCCCTTGTGCTGGTGTTTGGCGGGTCTGGGGTACTGGGCACTCCTGTTGGTTAGAGGTGATTTGAGGAGGGTCCGGGGCGCTGGAACCCAAGGTGCTCCAACGTAACAGGGAGGGGAGTTAAGGCGCTGGCAGCTGCAGGCTGAAACCTGCTGAGAGCCCTCCCCCGCCCCCGAGGCCGGGGGTGTGAGGCAGTGGTGGCATTGTGGGGGGCTGCTGCTGGCACTCCAGACGCCCTGAGAGCACCGTGCAGCCCTCCCCGGGGAGGGAGCTGAGGACCGGTCGGCCTAGAGGGGCTGCACCCTCAGAGGAAGTGGGACCCCCCTACGCCGTGGAGCGTTGAGAGCCCTGGTGTGGCCTCAGCGTGGGATGCTCGGACACACGGCCTGGCCCCCAGGCCCTTTCTGCACTGCGAGCTAGCCGCGCACGCGGGCCCCGTGCGCCTGCTTGTGGGTGGAGAGAGGCCCCTCTCCGTTCCTCGGCGTCTCTCTGTCCACGTTCAGGGGGCCAGGTCTGAGGCGCCCCCGGGACCCCGCGCGGGAGGCCCCGGGGCCGCTGCACCGACTGCAGAGCCGGGCGCCGCCTTCCGCGCCCGCGCAGCTCCTTCCTGCCCCGCGCTTTCAGCGACGGGCTGGGCGCTGCAGCGATGCGGAAGTCGCAAGTCCAGCCAAGGTCACTCGCGGCGCAGGACCCAGGGGTCCGCTCTTGGCCGCCCGCCAGGTCCTGCCCCGCCCGGCGGGCACCCGGGTGAGCCGAGAGCGCAGAGGCGGAAGTAGGGCCGCCAATGAGCGGCGCCGAGGCCGGGGCGGTGTCCGAGGCCTTCTCCAATGGGGGCCGGCTTTCGGGGCGCGGCGTCGGCCAATCAGGCCCCCAGGTAGGCGGGGTCGGAGCGGAGGTTCTCCAATGGGCCGAGGGGGCCGGTCGTCCTCCCCCGCTACAGGTGGGGCTGCCGGCGTGGGGCGGGGCTCGGCGGGCCTCCCCCAATGGGCAGCGGCCCGGTGGGCGTGGCCGTGGCGCGAAGGCCGGCGGCGGCCGGGACACTCAGTCCCGGTGCGCGCTGGCTGCGGCCGCCCGCGCAGTCCGCCGTCCCGGCCGCGCCCGCGCCATGGCCGGCCTGGGGCGGCCGCCGGCGCCGCGCGCCGCGATGCCCGCCTGGAAGCGGGAGATCCTGGAGCGGAAGCGCGCGAAGCTGGCCGCGCTGGGCGCGGGGCCGGGGGCCGGGGCGGCGCCGGCGGGGCCGGCCGAGCAGCTCGTGCTGGCCGAGAGCCTGGGTCCGCTGCGCGAGAACCCGTTCATGCGGCTCGAGTCGGAGCGAAGGCGCGGGGCGCGGCCGGCGCAGCAGCTGCTGGAGCTGTACCGCCGCGTGCCGGGCGTGCGCACCATCCGCGCCGACAACATCCTCATCATCGAGGCGGCGCCCGGCTGCCCCGCGCCGCCCGCCGGCCCCGCGCCGCCCGCGGGCGCCGCGCGCATCCGCGCCGCCGAGGTGCTGGTGTACGAGGCGCCGCCGCCGGCCGGCCGCGTCAGCCGCCTGCTGGAGAAGTTCGACCCCCCGGCCGCGCCGCGCCGCCGCGGGAGCCCGGAACGCGCCCGGCCGCCGCCGCCCGCACCCCGCGCCCCGCCGCCGCCGCCGCCGCCGCCGCCGCCCGCCGAGCGCGCCGAGCGCGCCGCCCGCCTGCAGCCCGCGCGCCCCGCCGATGGGGCGGGCCCTGGGTCCCGGCGCGGCGAGTTCGTGCAGAAGACCGGCAGCAACTCGTTCACCGTCCACCCGCGCGGCCTGCACCGCGGCGCGGCGCCCGAGCCCCGGCCCGGCCCTGCCTGCGCGCCGGCGGGCGCCCCTCCCGGGCCCGGAGAGTGGAAGCCAAAGGCGGGGACGGCGGCGCCTGCCGCCGTCCCGCCCCCCAGCCCCGGGACCCCGAGTGCCACCGCCGCCGCGCCCGCTGCAGTCCCCGCGCCCAGCCCTGCCAGTGCCACTCCCAGCCAGCGCCGGTGGGTCTCCGCCGCCACCAGCGCCAACGACTCCTTCGAGATACTGCCGGCCCCCACGCCAGACTTGGAGGCCATCCCCTCGGGCGACCTGCAGGCCCGAGCCCTGGCCAGCCTGCGCGTGAACTCCCGGAACTCCTTCGTGTTTGTCCCAAAGCGCAAGGCCTCCGAGGCCACTGCTCCTCCCGGGGACAGGCAGTCGGCGGCCTGGGCCGCCCGGAGCCCGGAGCCCGGAGCCCAGCCGGGGTCTGGAGACGCTGCGTCCGCCCTGGGGAGGAGCCCCTCCGAGGCCGCGGCGGTGCCTTGGGGGGCCAGCGCCAGGCCAGCCACCACCCTCACGGATGGGCCCGCCCCGGGCGGCGGGCTGCCCTCGCCACCGCCGTTCCTGCCGGCTGCTGCGGAAGCCGGGTCTGTCCAGAGCGCCAGGGCTCCCGGCTTGGCCAAGAATGGCCGGGAGCCCGGGCTGCCGGTCACCTACATCGACGAGGTGGACTCTGAGGACGAGGGCCCCCAGGAAGCCAAGCTGCCCTGCCCGGGGGCTGGTGCGCCCCCCCGGCACCTCCCGCACCCGGCCAGGCCCGGGCACACGGCGGAGCTCCAGCACCGGGGCGGCAACACCTTCGTGGTGGTGCCCAAGAGGAAGCCCGCCGACGGGCAGCAGCAGCCCCGCGAGGCCGAGGAGCCGCAGGGAGAGGCCGGCGGCCGCCGGGGCGCGGTGCTCAAGGAGCGCTACCCCACCGTGCACGAAATCGAGGTGATCGGCGGCTACCTGGCCCTGCAGAAGTCCTGCCTCACCAAGGCCGGCTCCTCCAGGAAGAAGGTCAGTGCGGGGGGGGCAGGGCCGAGCGGCCTCCTGCCGGCTCGCAGGGCTGTCCCTCTGGGGGTCCAGCTGGGAAGAGGGCCCTGCCTGGCCTGGCTCGGAGGGGCGGTCTGCTGTGGTGGGTCAGTGAGTACCAGCTCGGAGCTGGCGGGAAGGGCAGCGGGTCCCGCCTGCTCCATCCACCTGGTGTGCAGCTGGGCCGGCCACACCCGGGTGTGACGCTGGGGCCTCGGCTGGCACCCCGCGAGGAGCTGCTGCGGCCTGGATCCCCCGGGCACACGGAAGTGCTCTTGGGATTCTTCCTGGTTTCTCCAGCACCTGTGAGTGTCGCCCGGGGTAATTCCAAGGCCAGCCCCGCTCCGCCACCGCTGGCTCCCGAGAGATGCACTTTCCCCCGGTGCTGGGACAGCGCCCAGCGGAGTCTAAGGCTCCCCCGCCTCAGGCCCTGCCGGCTCCATCTGCCGATGCCGACGCCGGAGCCGGGCAGGCGTCCACGCCCCCTGGATCAGGGCTGGCCGCTGTGACGTCCCTGGCTGCCTCTCGGGCCGGCCTCCGCCTCCTCCCTCCCTTGCCCCTTGGCCTGCTTCTCCCTGGTGTGCCTCTGACCCTTGGCTCTGGCTACAACGTGGGGTGGCCCCCTCCCCACCTTGCCCCAGGAAATGGAAGCGGTACAGAGACCGAGGCTGGAGCGCCCACCCTTGGCCAGGGTCATTCACCCACGGCCAGCCTGGCGCCTGCCTGGGTTGCTGTCTAGGGCCAGGCCATCCTGCCCCAGCTGGAAGCAGAACTGGGGGGAGTTGGGGTGAGAAAGATGGGGAGCCTGCAGCCCCCAGGAGCAAGAGGAGGTGTGACTGACAGGGCACCGGATGGCGCTGATCTCCGTGCCAGCCTGAGGCCTGAGTCCGGATGGCTGAGCCTGGCGTGGCCAGGTGGCCGCACCAGCTGCCCACCCAGGAGGAGCCGGCCTGCGGGCTGCCTGGCCTTCAGCCTCCAGGGCCCCGGCCGCGTGTGCGCCTGCGCCTCCCAGCACCCCCGCGGGCTGGGGCCTGGCCCAGGTCTCCCTGCCGGTTTTTTTTTTTTTTCAAAGGTTTATTTGTGTATGTGAAAGGCAGAGTTAGACAAAGACTGATGGCCTTCCATTCCCTCTTTGGGTTCACTCCCCAAGGGGCTGCGACAGCTGGGTCTGGGTCAGGGTGGATGAAGCCAGGAGCTGCTTCCGGGTCTCCCACAAGGGTGCAGGGCCAAGCGCTTGGGCCATCTGCTGCTTGCCCAGGCCATTGGGCACAGGGATGCTGGCGTGGGTCACTGGTGACCCCGGGGTTTACCCGGAGGGCGGGCAGAACGCAGCCGCTCGGCTTCCTCTGGGCGGTGGCCCCTGCTGACCGCACAGCCGAGGGTGCAGCCACACCCCCTGGCCTGGCTCCCCACAGCCGCCTCCCGTGGGACTCGGAGCTCCACCTGGCCGGCTCCTTCCCCTCCCCTTTGCCCTCTGGAGAGCAGCCTCCACCCAGCTTCCAGGCCAGTCTGGCTCAGCCTGGCTGGCACCCTCCTTGCTCCCAGAGGCTGCCTTGGGCTGGGGGCTGCATGGGCCCTGGGGCGCAAGCCGTGTGGACACTACCTGAACAGCTCCCTGCTTTGTTCCCTGTGTCCCCTGTGGGAGCTCTGGCTGTGGGGGGATGGGAGGCCGTGTGTGCGGTGGGAGAGGTGGGCGGGGCAGGGCCACCTGCAGCCGGGCGGGCAGTAACTGGAGCTGGGCGTGAACGGGCAGGGCAGGTGCAGTGAGAACAAAGGCCCCTGTGCAAGTGGGAGGCTCCCCGGCCAGGGCCCACCTGTCTGCCGCTGTGCTCCGTGCCACGGGCAAAGTCCCCAAGAGGCCCGGTGACCAGGCGCACTGGGAGCCAGCCCTGGCCACGCCCTCCCGCCTATCCTATATCCTGTCTCCAGCAGCATGAATCATGGGGTGCCCTGTGACCCACTGACCTGCACCCAGAGGGCCCCCGGGCCCCAGCTGGGGGCAGATGGCCTGTGGGCCAGGCTGTGCCAGGCTCAGTGTGCCCAGCCCCCAAGGCCTCCCCACGAGGAGCTGGTCATGTGGACCGACAAGGGTGCTGAGCCTGGGCTCTGGCAGCCGGCCCGCCGGTTCTTAGTGGTGGGGGATGGGCCTGGCAGGCTGGGGCCGTTGGGACGAGGCAGCAGGGGCGGCTGGGCCCCTGTGGGAGTGTCTGTCCTGGAGGGCTGGGGTCCCCGTCCCCGAGCCGGCTGGTGCAGGTGGGTGCCTGTGGGCTCTGCCGGCCTCTGCCCAGCCTCCCGTGGTCCGGGCCTGCCTGCTCCTGAGAACTTTGTGTGAGCTGTGCCGACACCGAGGCCAGGAGCCCAGGGACGGGGTCGCCCTGGCCGGGGAGGGCAAAGGAGAGGTCAGGCGTGTGGGCCGGCACGTCGGGACACCTCGGCCGCCCCGGTGAGCTGGCTGCTTCTGAGCCCCCTCCCGTCTGTCACTGGGTGGCCGTGGCGCTCTGTCTGGGGGCTGACTGCAGCCTGCCCCAGGGAGGAGGGAGAACCTGAACTTGAGCTGCGGTGTCCTGTGCCCAGGAGGAGTTTAGTATTTCGAGCTGCTGGATGGCTGCTTATCATTACCCGGCAGCCCTGTGGGCGCTCCGCGTCCTGCCCGGCGGGGCCTGCCTGGTCACTCAGCCCTCCGCGCAGGGCCGGGAGGGGAGGGGAGGGGAGGAGAGGGGGCCTCCCCCGGGACAGCCTGGGAGCAGGAGCCCCCTGTCGGCCTCGGCCCGCTCTGGGCTCGGTCTGGAGCAGGCGGCCCCTGCCGAAGGCGCGTGAGCTGCCCAGGACACTGGCCCGGCTGCGGGAGGCCGCCGTCGCCATGCCGCCGTGCGTCTGTCCCCAGATGAAGATCTCCTTCAACGACGAGAGCCTGCACACCACCTTCGAGTACCCTTCCGAGAGCTCCTTGGTGCAGGACGAGGCGGCGGAGGAGGAGGACGGGGAGGACGGGGAGGGCGACGAGGACGAGGAGGACGAGGAGGAGGGGCCCGGCCCCGAGAAGCCCTTCGCGCTCTTCCTGCCGCGAGCCACGTTTGTGGGCAGCGTGGGGCCCGAGCGGCCAGGCGGGGGCTCAGGTGAGTGCCGGCCGCGCGGCGGGGAGCCTGGCGGGGGCCCGGCCCACACGTCCATCTGTCCTGCTCGGCCCTCAGGCCTGTCCAGCTACACCCCGAAGCACTCTGTGGCCTTCAGCAGATGGCAGGAGCAGACGCTGGAGCAGGCTGCGCGTGAAGCGGAGCCCCCGCCCAGCGAGGTCACGGTGAGCGGAGGGAGGGGCGCCCGCGGGCAGGAGGCGGGCGGCTGGCAGCAGGACAAGCCCTGTGGCTACTCCACACTCTCTTCCAGCTCACGCCTGCCAGCCACGACGACCTCTCCGACTTCCGCAGCGAGCCGGCCCTCTACTTCTGATCCCAGCCAAGGCCGCGCCGGCCCCTCCCCCGCCGGCCGGCTCTGCCCCGTCCTCCCTTCTTCCTGGGGTCCCACAGCCCTGCTGGGGCTCCCGCCCTCAGCGCCAGGGCTGTTTGGGTCTTTGGCCCTGGCTTTGGGGGTCGAAAGGCAGAAAAGGGGAGCAGCCTGTGGGGAGGGCTGGGGTCCTGCCAGGTGGTGGGGAGCCGAGTGGGCCCGTCCCCACCCCTTGTGAATGGCAGGCCTGACAGTGGGCTCTAAATAAACAGCACTGGAGGATGCCTCTGCTCGCGGACTGGGGACCCGGGGGCGTGGCAGGGAGTGTGGGTGGGGCTGGGACCCGGGGGCGTGGCAGGGAGTGTGGGCGGGGACCCGGGGGCGTGACAAGGAGCATGGGCGGGGCCCCCACGGCAGGGGCCAGGCTCTCACCCCCTCACGGGAGCCCACCTCCCTGCTTCCCGTGCCCAGCTGTGGGCCCTGGAGGGCGGGGGCTGGGGCTGTGGGGTCTGAGGCGACTTCGCAGAAGGGACCAGAGGCAGGGCAGGCTGGACGGACGACAAGGTGGAGGCGGCGGCTTGGAAGGCTGGGCAGCCGACAGCCCACAGGCAGCACCTGCACGGGGACCGGTTCCCCTCCAGGGTGGTCAGACCCGGCCCTTGCTGTGCGTGGCTGGGAAAGCCAGCGTCCCCGGTGAGGACCGTTCAGGGCCCGGCTGCTCCACCTGGACAGCAGCAATGTGTCCCAGTGCTTCGTCCCCCGCACCCCGTGAGAGACCTGCGTGGAGTTCAGGCGTGTGACGTCCTGGTCCAGCCCTGGCTGTCGTGGCCATGTGGAGAGAGGACCAGCAGACGGAAAAAACCTTCAAAACCAAAACCCGTCAGAAGCCACCAGGCTCCGGGGAGGTGGGGGGCAGTGTTCTTGGGGGGGCATGTCCTGGCGGGGGAGGGGCGTTTCCAGGACCCCAGTCCAGGCAGCAGCTGGGCCTTGGTTACTGCAGTAGGACAGGCTGCTGAGGTTGGGGGCTGGGCAGGCGGGGGCGGACACTGGGCCTGTGGACAGCAGAGGGGCACCAGCACCTGCGGGCACAGTGGTGGCATCAAATGAGCACTTATTTTTTCTGAAGATTTATTTACTTCAAACGCGGACTCAGAGTGAAGGAGTGGCAGGTCCCACCACTGGTTCGCTCCCTACACGGCCACCACGGCTGGAGCTGAGCCAGGCGCTTCCTCCAGGTCTCCCGCACACGTGCAGGGCCGAGGACTGGGCATCTCCCACGGCCTTCCCAGGCCTCGGCAGCAGGCGCTGGCTGGGGAGTGGGGCAGCGGCACTGCAGGCGGCTGCTTTACCCGCTAGGCCCAGACCTGAACGGGAGCAGGCAAGGGGATGGAGCCCCAGCCCTGCTGAGCGGGACGGGTGCCTCCGTGGACGGATGCATCACGCGGGCAGAGGGGCAGAGCCCTGTCCAGGCTCCTGGGGTGGGGCGGGCACCCTCAGCTCTCCGTCCCCAGGGGCCACAGCGGCTGGGCGGGGACCGGCTCCAGGGGTGCGCGCAGCCCCACGGTTGACGCGGCACAGGCACGGGCTGGTGGGCTCTGTACAAATACAACCTTTATTGGCAGGTCAGGGCGCTAGGCCCCGCCCCCGCCCCGCCGGCCTGGCCACCACGGCCGAGCAGAGGCCAGTGCCAGGGGTGTGGGGGCCGCAGAGCCCACCTGGAGTCCAACACCCCAGGGCCTGGGTGCGCGGGAGGCCAGGACCCTCGCCGGTGGCTGTCTGGGCGGCTTCTGGTCACCCGGGGCCACAGTGCGGTGCAGCTGCTTCAGGGAGAGCTGGGGGCGGCCCCGCCCGTCAGCTGTCCTTGCCCCCGCCGCCCTTCTGCTCCGTGGCCATGGTGGCCTTGCTCAGGTTCCCGGTCTCCCTCTTGAGGACGCTGAGCAGGGTCTGCGAGCTCTCCAGGATCTGCGCCGACGGGGCGAGACTCACTGCCCGACCCGGGGGTCACTGCCCGACCCGGGGGTGGGGGACCCTCCCCTTCCTCCCCAGGCTGCAGAGCCAGGCGGGCTTGGCTCTGCCAGCCCTGGGAGGAGCCGCGGGGGACAAGCCCAGGGCAGCCCGGCCACCTGCCGAGCCCCACCTTGAGGTAGGCGGCCTCCGTCTCCGCGATGGTCCGGTCGAACTCGTTGCGGGAGGCGATCTTGCAGGCCAGGTTCTCGTTGACGCGGGCCAGCCGCTCGGTCAGCTGCCGCACCTCGACCTGCAGCCGCTGCTTCTCCTCCTCCTCCTGCTGGATCTGCTGGCACAGCTCCTCCCGTTTCTGGCACAGCTCCTCCATGCCTACGGCGGGCCCGAGGTCAGCGCCGCGGGCCGGGGCCGCCCGCCGCCCGCGCAAGGCCACGGTCCCGCCCCGGGGCCCTCGGTCCCCAGCCCTGGGCGCGGGCAGGGCCGGACCGCGTGCACCCGCCTGAGCCACACAACGCCCCGGGGAAGGCCGGCCCGAGGCGTCCACGCTACGGGAGCCGAGCCTCGCACCGACAGTCCCCGGAGCCGGGCCCTGCGGCCCCCACGGCCTCCCCGACAGGCCCGCCGCTCACACTTGACCAGCTCGTTGTTGTAGGTCTGCAGCGCCGCGCCCTGCTGGGTCATGGTTAGCGCTCGGACGCCCCGCCGCCCCAACCGCCGCGCCGCCCCCGTCTGCGCCTGCGCACTCTCCCCGACGGCGCGCCGGTCGACGCGTCACTACCGCGCGCCCCGCCTGCGCGTCACGGCTGCGCGCCGCGCCCAGCCTACGCCATCTCCGCGCGCCGCGCCCAGCCTGCGTCATCTCCGGACGCCGCACCGCCGGGGTGGGGGTGGGGTCTCTGAGAGCGAGTGGGCGAAGATGGAGGCGGCGGGGGTGCAGGGGGATGGCGGCCCTGGGCCTGGGCAGGATCTGTTGGTGGCCTGGAATACCGTGAGCACCGGGCTGGTGCCGCCGGCGGCGCTGGGACTGGTGAGGCCCGGGAGCGGGGTGGCGGGCCCGCGCGGGGCGTCCGCTGGTCGCCAGCCTCTGCTGGCTCCGTCCGCGCCCGCCTCGCCCCTCGCCCCTCGCCCCTCGCCCCTCGCCCCTCGCCCCTCCGCTCAGCGGCTCCTGCCCCGCAGGCGTCCTCGCGGACCAGCGGCGCGGTGCCGCCCAAGGAGGAGGAGCTGCGCGCCGCCGTGGAGGTGCTGAGGGGCCACGGGCTGCACTCGGTCCTGGAGGAGTGGTTCGTGGAGGTGCTGCAGAACGACCTGCAGGCCCACATCGCCCCCGAGTTCTGGAACGCGCTCGCGCAGCGCGAGAACGCGGCCGACGAGCCCCAGTGCCTCCTGCTGCTCCTCGACGCCTTCGGCCTGCTGGAGAGCCGCCTGGACCCCTACCTGCGCAGCCTGGAGCTCCTGGAGAAGTGGACGCGCCTGGGGCTGCTGCTGGGCCCCGGCGCGCAGGGGCTGCGCGAGAGGGTGCACACCATGCTGCGGGGCGTCCTGTTCTTCTCCACGCCCAGAAGCTTCCAGGAGATGGTGCAGCGTCTCTACGGGCGCTTCCTGCGGGTCTACATGCAGAGCAAGAGGAAGGGGGAGGGGGGCACGGACCCCGAGCTGGAGGGCGAGCTGGACAGCCGCTACGCCCGCCGGCGGTACTACCGGCTCCTGCAGAGCCCGCTGTGCGCGGGCTGCGGCGGCGACAAGCAGCGCTGCTGGTGCCGCCAGGCGCTGGAGCAGTTCCAGCAGCTCAGCCAGGTCCTGTGAGTACCCCCGCGCCCTGCTGGCCCTCGCGGCAAGCCGCACGCAGGTCTGCCTGCCCGCACGCCTAGCCCAGGGCTCCCAGGTCCCTGTGCTGAGGCCGCGGGAGGCTCGGGTTTGCTGCCTTCTCAGGGTTTATGTATCTGAGAGGCAGAGAGGAGAGAGGCCTTCTGCTGTCCGGCTCCCTCCCGAAGTGACCAGAATGGCCAGGGCTGGGCCAGGCTGGAGCCAGGAGCTCCATCCGGGCCTCCCACGCGCGTGCGGGGGCCCGGGTGCTTGGCCCGTCTGCTGCTGCTTTCCCAGGCAGCTTAGCAGGGAGCTGGGTCGGAAGTGGAGCGGCCGGGACCCGATCCGGCGGCGGGGCGCGGGGTGCTGGCCTTGTGGGACCCGATCCGGCGGCGGGGCGCGGGGTGCTGGCCTTGTGGGACCCGATCCGGCGGCGGGGCGCGGGGTGCTGGCCTTGTGGGACCCGATCCGGCGCCGGGGCGCGGGGTGCTGGCCTTGTGGACGGCGGCTCGGGCTGCAGCGCAGGCGCGCACTCCTAGCCCTGCCGGAGGCGCCGGCGCGAGCGGGCTTGCTGGCGCTTTGCTCCCGGCCAGCAGGGGGCAGCAGGTGTCCTCTCCGGTGCTCCGGGGGGGCTGGGCCGCGGCGGCTGGAGTCTGGCCCTGCTGTTGCCCCCTAGCGGTCGCACTGCCCGCGGCCCGCAGAGGTGATTGGTCACACCGGACAGAGGCGGCGCGCGGCTGTGTGGGAGAGGGCTCTTAGGGGACGGCGGGACCGGTCCAGGTGCCGGCAGGGTCGGGAGGCTCTGCCGGGCCTCTGCTGGTCCACCCCCGGGCAGGGACTGGAGCCCTCTCGCTCTCCCGAGAGCCGCTGGAGGCCAGTCTGCAGCCGGGGCAGCCTGCGGCCGGTTCCGCAGAACCCTTCCCAGGAGGGCAGCGGGGTTCCCCCATGGCCACGCCTGCCGCCCCGGCCACCTGGAGGGCCAGCGTCCACCTGACACAGAGGCTGCGGGCAGGGTCAGAGCCGTGTCAGTGCCTTGTCCTGCAGCCCCCCGTGGGGCCCTGCTCGTGTGTCCTGGCTGTGTGTCCCCTGTGGGGCCCTGGCCGTGTGCCCTGGCTGTGTGTCCACTGTGGGGCCCTGCTCGTGTGTGCCCTGGCTGTGTGTCCCCTGTGGGGCCCTGGCCGTGTGCCCTGGCTGTGTCCCCCGTGGGGCCCTGCTCGTGTGTCCTGGCTGTGTGTCCCCTGTGGGGCCCTGGCCGTGTGCCCTGGCTGTGTCCCCGTGGGGCCCTGCTCGTGTGTCCTGGCTGTGTCCCCCGTGGGGCCCTGCTCGTGTGTCCTGGCTGTGTGTCCCCGTGGGCCCTGCTCGTGTGTGCCCTGGCTGTGTGTCCCCCGTGGGGCCCTGGCCGTGTGTGCCCTGGCTATGTCTCCCGTGGGGCCCTGCTCATGTGTGCCCTGGCCGTGTGTCCCCCGTGGGGCCCTGCTCGTGTGCCCCTGGCCGTGTCCCCGTGGGGCCCTGCTCGTGTGTGCCCTGGCCGTGTGTCCCTCGTGGGGCCCTGCTCGTGTGCCCTGGCCGTGTGTCCCCCGTGGGGCCCTGCTCGTGTGTCCTGGCTGTGTGTCCCCTGTGGGGCCCTGGCCGTGTGCCCTGGCTGTGTCCCCCGTGGGGCCCTGCTCGTGTGTCCTGGCTGTGTGTCCCCTGTGGGGCCCTGGCCGTGTGCCCTGGCTGTGTGTCCACTGTGGGGCCCTGCTCGTGTGTGCCCTGGCTGTGTTGTCCCTGTGGGGCCCTGCTCGTGTGTGCCCTGGGTGTGTCCCCTGTGGGCCCTGCGCGTGCGCCCCCGTGCCCCGGCCGCGTGGCCGTGCCGTGTCCCATACAGGTCTCCCCCAGGCACCGGCTCAGCCTGGAGCGCGTCAGTGCCGAGGCGGTGACCACCACCTGCACCAGGTGACGCGAGGGGAGCATGGAGGACCGCTGCAGGGGCGAGTACGAGCGCTTTCCTGCGCGAGTTCCACAAGGTGACCTCCCGCCACGCTGGCGCCAGGGGCGGGGTGCAGGCCGGCGGCAGTGTGGACGGGGGGTGAGGGGCCGGGGGCGGGGTGCAGGCCGGCGGCAGTGTGGAGGGGGGTGAGGGGCCGGGGGGGTGAGGGAGGGGGGGGACTGGGGGGGTGAGGGGTGAGGGGACTGGTGGGATGGGGGTACTGGGGGAGAGGGGACTGGGAGGTGAGGGGACGGGGGGTATGGGAGGGGACTGGGGGGGTGAGGGAGGGGGGGGAGGGGATGGGAGGATGGGGGGGGACTGGGGAGTCAGGGACTGGGGGTGGTGAGGGGACGGGGGGATGGGGGGGGAGGGGACGGGGGGATGGGAGGGACTGGGGGGGGGAGGGGACTGGGGGGTGAGGGGATGGGGGGGACTGGAGGGAGTGTGGGACTGGGGGCAGTGTGCTGCACCCGTACAGCAGAGGGCTGGGGCTGAGGCGGTGTCTGGGAGAGGGGCCCATGGCGGGCTGTGGATACGAGGCACTCACGGTCGTCACCAACGGCTGAGTCTGTGGCCCCTGCCTGCCAGGACCTGCCGGGCCCTGATGCGCAGCAGGGTGTGAGGCGTAAACAGGTGCTGGGGGCGGGGGAGGGGGGGGGGCGGGGCGGGGCCCGCCCTGCAGGGGCGAGGTCTGCCCTGCAGGGGGAGGTGGGCCTGCCGAGGCCTGACCAGCAGGGTGGGCAGCCTCTGGGTTGCCTGGGGCTCATGCCACGCCACTCACGGTGGGGGCTCTCGACAGTGGATCGAGAGGGTGGGCGGCTGGCTGGGCAAGGTGTTCCGCAGGAAGGCCCTGCCCGGCCCGCGTCCCCGGAGGCCGGGCAACAGCTGCGGCGCTGTGCGCTGCCACGTGCAGAGGTTCTTCTACCGCACCCTACGCCAGCCTGCGCATCGAGGAGCTCTTCAGCATCGTGCGGGGTGGGTGCTGCCCCCACCCACGTCCTGGCCACACCCCGCCGGCTCGCTGGCCCCCACCAACGTCCTGGCCACACCCCGCCTGCTCGCTGTCCTCTGCCCCTTCGGCCTTGGTGGGCAGTGACCCCGCGGGGTTGCTGTGCTGAGACGCCGCCCGTGCGAGCGTCAAGGGTGCCGTCCCCAGAGCGCCCGCAGCCCGTGTCCTCGCCGCGTGCGCCTTCCCGGCCTGCCCGTGTGTGCGTGTGCGTGTGCGTGTGCGGTGCGTGTGCATGGCCCTGAGGTGGCCCCTTCCCGCAGATTTCCCAGACTCCCGGCCGGCCATCGAGGACCTCAAGTACTGCTGAGAGGACGGACCAGAGGCAGCAGCTGCTCGTGTCGCTCAAAGCTGCGCTGGAGGCCCGGCTCCTCCACCCAGGTGCCCTCAGCCCGGCGCAGCCCCTGGGCCGGGCGCGCTCCTGGAGGAAGGCAGGGCCCAGCTGGTCTGGCCTGGGGTGGGGGCTCCTCAGAACAGGCTGCCTGGTCCGTGGAAGCCTCTGGAGAAAGTGCCTGTGAGAAGGTGGAAGTGGGGGTGGGGTCAGCTCCCTGTGGTCCCCTAGGGAGACAGGTCCCGGGGGAGACCCGTAGGCTGCCCACTTGGGTGTTGGCACCAGGCACCTGGGGGCTGCTGTCCAGGACTCTGAGTGGACCGCGCCCCCACCCCCGCAGGCGTCAACCACGTGTGACATCATCACTCTCTACATCTCGGCCATCAAGGCGCTGCGTGTGCTGGACCCCTCCATGGTCATCCTGGAGGTGGCTTGTGAGCCCATCCGCCGCTACCTGAGGTGAGGCCCTGCACCAGGGAGCCGGCCTCCCGGCCTTCTCACGCCGGGCACCTCGGGGCTCCTATCCCCCCACACTGTCCCTGTGTCCTGCAGCGACCCGGCCCCCCACGGTCCCAGTGTCCCCCTACAGTGACTCGGCCCCCCCACTGTCCCAGTGTCCTGTGGTGACGCGGCCCCCCACTGTCCCA